CCCCCCCCACCCCAACCCATTCACTAGTTGCATGTGGAGTAGGCACCACCCGTTGCTAGGAAGCAGGTAAGTGCGCAAGTGACCTAAATTTTTGATGCTAAGTGCGCAAGTGGCCCAAAGTGCGCAAGTGACCGAAAAACCCAGTGCGCAAGTGACTGCCTGGCCATGAACACCGTGTTTTCCTGTAGTGACATGGTCCCAAGTCATCGTGTTGTCGCGCTGATTCTCAGGACTGATTCTCAGGAACCCCCCCACCTCAAAGGAAAGTTATGGACATCTGATATCTGATGATACATACACTATACACCAATCATTGATGACACATATACATAGCGCATATCTAGAGATACTAGATCCATACTGACTTTTATTCTTATAAACAATATTTAAAGCACGTGTTTGTTCATAAAATTTCATAGTGTTATGGTTTCCCATGCAGGTAAATATGATGTATGATCATCCACATCTTGACCATTTCACCTCAACAACGTACTGTTTCAGCCCCGACCTGGGACCTCTGAAAGGAGCCCAGGGCTCCTTTCAGCCCTGGACCGGCACCGCAGGTTGGAATGCTCGGGGCGGTCCCGTGAAGGCCGACCACGCAGTGGCCGTGCCCGTGGTCACCAAGCGGCCCCTTGGAGCGAGGGATGGAGGGACCAGTGATGGTGAACAAGGGGCGCCACAGGGAGGAAAGGTCAAGAACTTGGAGTTCCAACACCCTCCAACTAGATACCCTATATATAGGGATCCAAGATGATCCAGTCGTAATGAGCTCCTCATAGAAGGTATGACTGGACCCGACAATGGCACCCACCCCAGTCCCACCTTCTCAGAAGCTATGACTGGAGCCGTAGGGATATTGAGGGATACTATGGGATACTCAGAATGGGTACCCTTAGGGCTCGACTGGTCTGAGGAGATTTTCCAGGGAGATCGGAGGGGAACCAGATCATCCCGCCCTCCAAATTTGCCCCATTCCGCGGATCGGACGGAGGTTCGTTTCGGTGGGACCGCGTCGCTCAGGACCTCCTCGCACACCACGGCGACGACTGCCACGTCCAAGAAGGGTAGTGGCAGTGGAGAAGTCGAGGAGGAGAGATCCCTGAATCCCTCGCTTTTGCTTAGGGTGATGATCCTTTTCCCGAACTGGGCGAATCCCCAAACCTGGTGAATATGTGGTAACTGCTTGAAATGCTTTCCCTGCTGGACCAGTCTCCGGGACAACCGGAAAGCTGCACACCCGGCGGGTCGTGCGTTTTCGGTCTCTAGCATACGTCCATCGCTGCCCTTGGTCTCAACAGGTTTGATCATGTCCCAGACACTCCATATACGCATACATGGACACCCCCCCAACCACCCCAATGTAGGCCAATCTGGTAGTCCTAGACAGGTCGTGTCTTGGTCTTGGTTCTTCTTTCTGGTGACCGAACTTGATATTGTTTTGACGTCCCAAAAGGGCCTGGATGAGGGGCGGGTCACTGGATGAGGAGTCTTTTGTGGTCGTTTTCCTCGATCGCTGGGAATCGGCGATCGATATAGCGGAGGGCGGAGGGCGGAGGCGGACGTCCCGGACCGTGGCAGGACTCAGGAACACCCCTGTCCGCCCGCGGGAGCAATACGAATACCAACCTCTTGCGCCGGGTCTGCGTGATGCCTGAGAAGCAGCGCGCGCAGCCACTGGGGCTGAGAGGGTCGCAAGCTTTTTCGCCTGGTTTTTGGAGGCCCCTTGTTCCATCTGGTTCTAAATCCAGACTCTTTGATTCGGACTTACCTCCCTTCTCCCTCCAGATTTTGGCCAGGGAACGTCACAGCGGCCTCTCATCTCGGAGGACCCCCTCTTTCTGAAGCCCACCCTTTTTCCGTGTTTCCCGGAAAAGTGGCTCAAACGAGGTCACTTTCGAAGTGGTTCTCTGGTTTCAGTGAAACAGTGTTTGTTGGTGTTCGACTTGCGACCCTATGGCGACCCAAAAGCGGGCATAGCAAGGCAATCAAGGCACTTGAAACCATCAGCCGTCAGCCTTGACCCCCAAGCAGAGGCTGTACCAGTGTTGGGGGTCGCGACGCTCCAAACGCTGGGAGGTTGAGCATGGCTGGTAATTCATCTATGTCCACGATCCCATGGAACCTGAGTACACCCCTGGGTTGGTAGAGGAAACATCGTTTTTCATGGGACCAGGACGGACCCGGGTCTATGTGAGTTGACTCGGGAGTGTATGATTCTGTTAATGTTCGGTTGTCATGGATTCATAAACAGTTGGTGGTCTCTGGCAGGGAAGTTGAACCACAGATGATGTGGGGTCGAGGGATGTCGAACAAGGAGGCACCGCAAAGAGACCGGTTGCAGGTCGTCTGCTTTCGGTTGCAGCCCGGTTTCTGGGGTCTTTGGGGCCGGATTCTCTGCTGTTTGTTACCGTACTGTAAACATCTGTAAACAATTGTAGACATACATACCTGGGGCCGACTTCAAGCCCCCTATGGGACATGACCCGAAGCAGGTGCACTCACTGTCCGAGGTACGATGGCGGGTCGATTCTGAGGTGCTTCAAGAAGAACAGGTTCGGCATCTTTACATGTATATTTCCTAGTAGCCATAACAGGTTCAACTTCAACTGGTTTTGTACAGCAAAATTCTGAGTACGACGGTTCTTCGGGATTCTGCCTTTTATATACTGTACATCAATGGTGGCCCCACACCATAGGCATCCTCCCTCCCGCCGTTGAACACTGAGGACGCCCAGTGCTGGGCGGTGCACCACCTCGAGCGGCCCAAGGGAAACGGGGTGGAATGGGGTGGAATCCAAATAGCGATGGCCGATGGCCTCCAACCTAAGAGCAATGGCCTCCAACCTATATATAGCCTCCAACCTAATAGCGGGTAGGAAAAGCATGCAAAAGCTAAGGGGTGCCAACGAGGCTAGGCTGAACCAGTCCTGAACTTATCCCTTTTGCCGGACACCCTGCGAGTCCACTTTCCCGGCAAGGGTCGAATTCGGAGACCTGAAAGGGAATTCGGAATTGCTTTCTACCTCACTCTATCAGGAAAGAGTATGGTCTTTGGATCAGGGCGCGGAAGGTGCAGCACATCGAGCTGGATTCTACACAGCCGATTGCCATTTTTCTCGAAGGTTGGTTTGTGTTTGTGTCTATTTTTTTGCTCTGCATGGTAGTGCGCATGATAGCAATTGGGTTCACCATAAAGTACGGGGCTTAGGCCTCATAGGAAGTAAGTATATCGGTGACCTTAGCCAGGGACAGCCCGAATCGCATCTAAAGGGGCTATCAATAGAAGATACTGTAATAGAATAGAAGCTCCAAAAAAAGCGGGGGGGGGGTGCTGGAGTACTTCCTTTAGATCCTCAGATCCATTCAGAACCTATTCTTTAGTGTTTCGCACCGAAAACAGCTTAAGGGACCCTTCTGGTTGGCGACAAGGATCGGAGTCACAGACCGTTCGATGGCTCAAGTATGGGAGGCCCTGAAAGAAAACACCATCCCATATCCAGACCTATAGACCGAACCTGTCTTATTTAGTATTATTTATAATACCTCAATATAGCTCTTGGGAGTACAAGCTCCTGTGTCTCAAGCACCCAGTACTTCTATACGTCCTTTGGGTTCCCCCCCTCCTCTCACTCCAAACACCACCATCGGGCCGCCGACTGGGCCGCCAGGCGACAGCCTGGGCCGCGTGAGCCGCGCGTCGCTCCCGGCGGGCGGTGCGCACCAGGCCTGCCGAAGCTTAGGACAGCCACTCGGCACGCACACGTGGAGAAGGCAAGTTGGGAGGGGAGGAAGCGGTGGGGGGACCAAGGGCACCTTGCTTTGCACCACCTGGTGCAAAGCCAGGCTTTTTGGTTAAACACCGGGTTTTAGACATCACACCCCCTTTCGAAGGGGTGGTGAACCCAAAAGGAAGTGGTGAGAAGTCCGACCATTTTGGGGCGGAAGACGTGCGTAGACCCTTTGTAGTGCTCTTCGCAGCTTCCGGCAGCTTCTGGCTGGTGGAGAGAGAGGGTGAGGTGAGTGAACACTCAGTGTGCTTCAGCACCTGTCCAGACAGAAAGATGGACAAGGGATGGGACGGACCACCTGCACATAGGGAACAGCTCCAAGATTGGTCCAAAAGGCCTGGGTTCTGAATGGTTCTGACGAGGCTTCAAATACCTATTACTATATTATAGAGTAGATCTTTGAGCTGCAACATGTTTGGTTTTTGATGGTTTTTGGATCTTTCGGGCTGGGTGTTTTAAAGATGAACAGGCCGAAGACTTGCACAGTTGGATGATCTAGGTGTCTGCAAGATGCTGCAGCATTTCACATGTCTTCCATCAAATTGTGTGGGTTTGCCGGTGTCGCTGGACTTCGTCTTTTGGAGGAATACGTGCAGGACTCACTTACGAGGACGCATCGACGGACTAGGAGGTGGTGGAGGTGGTGGAGGAGGGTTGAGGTGGAGCCTTTGTGAAGGATGTTTCTGATTCTGGCCATGAGGATGATGGTCCTGGCCATGAGGATGATATGGATATTTGGCCATGAGGATGATGCACGTTCTGTCCGTGTATGACATCCTTCATGACATGGGCAGAATCATTCCCATGTGGCCACATCCCCATCATCGCACGTTCTTCAAGACTTGGGGTTGCCCGCTTTGTGCCCGACAAACATCCCGATATCCAAAGATCTGTCCGTTTGTCGAGTCATGCGACCAATCATAAAGTTTGCCGTGAAGCCTGCCAGCCGATGCGCTCTGGGGATGTGCTACTCTGCAGGAACGTAGCTATGGAAAGTGCAAGAATAGCTAGGTCGAAGTGTAACCCACAGAGGCATCCATACGTGCCTCCCTTTGAGTGTGTTTTTCCTTATAATTAAAGTAGGACCAGCAAACCCGGTAGCCAGGAAGACTACAGTACAGTATACACATAACTTTAAATAAACTATACCTGGACCCTCCAACGGGTGTTTCCTGGTGGCAACAGGTGCCCAGAAACCACCTGTTTTATCGTCCCAAAACAGCCTGTCGGAGGGTTCTGGTACATAGCATCACCCAGGCCGGGCGGTTTTTGAATCGAACCATGCCTGGCGCGTGTAGACCGTAGGTGTTGACGTCTACCGGTCGACCGGTTGACCGTCGCTGAGGGCTGAGCGTGGAGAGATCCTGGGCGGTGAGGCCACCGAGGCCGGTCCGGAGGCGGAGGCAGTGACTGCGAACACCCCAAAAGAAGGTTCTTTCAGAAAGTACAGACCAGCACCGGACCAGGAGAAACACGAGAGAAACAACCGAAAACGGACAAGGAAAACACACCAAGCCAGACTTGGAGTCTCTCAAAGGGGGGTCTTCCAGGCACCAGCTGCGCTGTTTCATCGCAGTATTTGTTGAGGTTTGTTCAGCGGTGCCGAGGTTGGAAGTTGGGTCATCCGAAGTCCTCCTGAGCCCCCCGGCTCCGCGGCACCCCGCCCCCCGGCTCCGGGCCCTGCCAGACGGTGGGCGACGCGTCGGGCCGCCGACCGCAGCGGGATTCCTTCGAGGCCATCCTCAAGGCCGGTCCACGCGGCGCGGCTCCACCCCCATGCTGTGTGTGTGTGTGTGTCTGTGTGTGTGTGCTATTTTTTCTCCGCTTCGGTGGTGTGGAGCCGAGGGTTCTGAAAGTAGGCTGCCAATGGCCCCAAGAGATCTTCAGATTTTTAGATAATTTTTCGGGGCGAGGGACGGGGAGGGAATGTCCCCCATGTTGAGTGTGCTGCGGCTTGCAACGTCCAGGGATCGTGCGAGGTGGGGTGATGGAACTGGAACTCTATAGAAGCCCCAGCTTTCGATCCACGCCATGCTTTGCCCCAAAACCATTGTTGTACCAACGATTCCGCACTAATCAGTAAAATATTCTAAAAGCAATTGAACCTTTATATAATGGTCCAACGGAGGGCGGTTTGGGGGGAAGAGTGAACGGAGGCTGAACTCGGTAACCTGGCGATGGCTGAGACTTGACACTTCCAATTCCAATTTCTTAGCAAATCATCTGAGTAATTATTCTTCAATAGGGGCGGCCAAACTTGTGTGAGCTTTGGTGCTTCGCTGCTGCTGCTGCTGCTGCTGCTGCTGCTGCCTCTTCAACCTTTGAGAGGCACAAATTCAATCTAGTCACTTCTGGAATGTGGATTCTTGGTACGAGACGGCCCTGGGATTTTTAGAGGGGGCAAGTGAACTAGACGAGGCGATCCATGTGAACTCCATGTGATCCAGGACTTCAGAGGGGCGAATGCCGAGTAAGTGGCACTTGATCTGAGTGGTGTCCCTGACCCTCCCGGCCTAGGAGGGTTGAAACTGAACACACCGCGGAACGCACTGCACGGACACCACCTGGTCGGACGCTGCTTTCGCCTTCTTGCGCAGGATGACATGAGTGATGGCCGACCCAGCACTAGCACGACTCTGTCAGGGAGTTCACTGGATGACTACATCGTCCGACACCCAGCACGGTGGTGTGGAACAGGGTGAGAGCACCAGCGGCTTTTTTTGCGGCCATGCAGCGGCTGTATGGGTACTGGACAGGAAAACAAGCCGACACCTACAATAATTGCACCCTAAGGAGTCCAAGACCACTTCGGAATTCCCCAATTCAATGTCCTTTTTTTTAAACTTCGGCGGTGCCAAGAGAGAGTCTAGTACTGGACTTCCATCCATCTGGCCACTTGCCTTTCTTCACTGCTCCGAACTTGGGGGCTCGAGGGGCCGAGCTCGTGGTTCGGACCGACGACCGGGCCTGTGACAGCCCAGGTGGGGAAACAGATCGGGCAAGGAGCGTATGCCACGGTCGCCTTCGGACTGCACAAAGAGACCAGCAAGAAGGTGGCAATCAAGATCTACGACCCTTGGGCTGCAAGTGAACAACCTGGGGGAGAGAGAGAGAGAGAGAGAGAGACTTCCTTCCTCAAAAAGAGTGCCCAGTTAGAGAAAGAGCCTCCCAGGTATTGGGCGATCATGCGCCATGAATCAAATTGGATCAATAGGGAATTCTTCAGAGCCCAAAAGTCCAGAAAAGATGAACAACACGCTTGGTGCCACATTGATTTGAGACCTCTCTTTTGGAAGACCTTGAAGAGATCCATCACACTGAGCTCACCGCACACCAGAATACCGGTCTTCGACATCGGGACGTCCAGCGAATCATGTTGTACATCCCATGTCGCACGTCTCCGAACCCAAAACCACCAAGCCCCACCCGGGGGGGGGGGGATCTTGGGATTCACCTTCGGGCGCGCGTTGGTCAGGTCGTCCGGTGGGTTCGTCCGGTCGGGGCGAGGAGAAGTACAAGCTATTGGACCCCCAGCGCCGAAAGGGAGTGCGGGGCGAAATTCGGTGTGGATGCCCAGTGGGGGGCGATGGTAGAGCCTTCTCTCCGGAGCGAAGGGAGGAGGGGGACCATGTCCTGGTTTTCAGGAAGAGGTGGATGGAAGAAGATTTGGATGGTCACTGAGCAGCACATACAGGTAGAAGATGTGTCACTGTGTTGGAGGCATGCACACGTGCACACGCGCTCTCTCTCTCTCTCACCACTGCAGGCAGAAGTGAAATGCAAAATGGATACCTGATGGCGTGCTTGCAAGGAAATCCTGCGGCTCTCGATCATTCCATTCAAATGAGACGAGAAAGGAAATGCAGTCCTTCCACTGGTCAATGGTCCACATGGCTTTTCAGGGTTGTCTCGCGGGGCTTGGTGTGACTTCGCTACACAAGCGGCCCGCCACACCTTCTTGCTATATCTCCGCACCAGCGGGGCAGGGCAGCAACCACGAGGCCATGAGGCCAGCATCTTCCATATAGGTCATGGGTGATACCAGGACACCCTAAGGGGTGTCTATTGATAGCCCCTAAAACGAGGTGATTCGTGGTGTCCAGAAAAACCACCCAACTCCAGTGGGTCCTAGTAGGTTTCGTTCTACTAACCATTCGATGAGTTGGTCTTACCTGCACCGAGGTTGATGGAACGCTTAAGGCATCCAAACATTGTGGAGTTTCACGAGGCACTGGACACGTGGCTGGGAAGCAGCTCAGGAGACACATTGAATCGAAGAAGGAAGATAGACCAAAGCCCATTTGTTGGGGGTCTCCGTAAAAAATGCGCATCATTATTGATCCACGTGGTAGCTGACCAAAAGGTCGACATAAGGCCTAGGTTCATTGAGAGCCTTTTATTCTGTCTGTGGAAGTTTTTCAAGTGCGCGAAAGAAACGATAAATTGGCAAAAGATATGCGAAAGGTAGATATGTGAGTTAAAATGGAGTTCGCGAAAGATTCGTGAACGTATATAAATATTTCTCGCCAAGAATTGCGTTTTCGTAGGCCAGGAATAGATCAATCATCATATTTCATCACTCCCACCTTGCCAGCTAGCAGCTAGAAGCCTCTTCTGAGGGGTGTTTAGGAACAGGTGACACTTTTTCCATCCCTACAACTGCTAGGGCTACCATGGGCTAGCCCAAAGTGACTCCAACTATATCTATCTATCTATCTATCTATCTATCTATCTCTCTCTGTCTGTCTGTCTGTCTGTCTGTCTGTCTATCTATCTATCTATCTATCTATCTATCTCTCTCTTTCTGTCTGTCTGTCTGTCTGTCTGTCTATCTATCTATTTATCTATCTATCTATCTATCTATCTATCTCTCTATCTCTCTCTATCTATCTGTCTGTCTGTCTGTCTGTCTGTCTGTCTATCTATCTATCTATCTATCTATCTCTCTCTCTATCTGTCTGTCTGTCTGTCTGTCTGTCTGTCTGTCTGTCTGTCTGTCTCTCTATCTATCTATCTATCTATCTATCTCTCTATCTATCTCTCTATCTGTCTGTCTGTCTGTCTGTCTATCTATCTCTCTATCTATCTATCTATCTATGTATGTATCTATCTATCTATCTATCTGTCTGTCTGTCTGTCTGTCTGTCTATCTATCTATCTACCTATCTATCTATCTATCTATCTCTCTATCTCTCTATCTGTTTGTCTGTCTGTCTATCTGTCTATCTATCTATCTATCTATCGATCTATCCATCTATCTATCTATCTATCTACCTATCTATCTATCTATCTATCTAATATAGAGGTAAAGACCCATCTGATGAGTCTCTTTATGGTTCTCGAAATTTGGTGGGATTCTTCGATGCGGACGCGGACGCGCGCGGACGCGGACGTTGACCGAGGCCCAAACAAATCTATCTCATCATGGACTTTGCCCCTTCGCACGGATTCGCGAGGAAGGACTCCGGGTTTTTGCGCACGCGATGAAGGAAGGGATGAACCAGGGACGAAGGAAGACGTGACGGGGGGTCAGAGGTCTCCACATGCCTCAGCGGCGCCGGCTGAAGAGGGCGAACCCCTCGAGTCCGTCAGCATAGAGGAAAGAGAGAACAGGAGGTCTGCGAAGGTGGAGGGCTGTCCAGGCTCAGCTTGCAATTAAGGGTGAGTTGGTGCGAGAATTGCTTAATTCTTTTTCAGGGCACCTCATAGACATGTGCGAACGGTTGTTCAGAAGGGCCCTTCCTTCTCTTTCAGCTGCTTCACCGCTTCAGCCGCTTTGAGGTGAGTGGCGGCTCTCTACATCATTTTCTCAAGAAGCGCCCCAATCGTCGAACTGATGACCCCCTGGCGAAGCGTTTATTCTTCCAGGCGAGCGGCATGGGTGGGTCATCGGGTCCTGGAAAGGTCGATCCCTCGGTCGGTGCTGCGGAGCTCTCGGCACAGTGGAGCCTTTCGGCCGGGGGAGGAGAAGGGTTTAGGGTTTAGGGTTTAGAAGATGGAGCGGTCAACCACCATCCGCCCATGGCCAAAGCAACTCGAAGTGTTTGGGGTTCACCCGACATGGAGCCGATTCTCTCACAGACAGGCCAGAGACAGCCTGGCGCTGGTGACGGCTGGGTCATGAACCTTCCATGCCTGGAAGAAAAGAGTTTGGACACCCGCCCCCAAAGCATCCTGGGTGCTTTCCTGGGTCTTCTTTTGGGTCCGGTGCGGTGCCTCGGCTCCTTGAAGCTCCATTCTTCCGGATCCAGGTGTGTCAGGGCATCAAATACTTGCACGACCGCCACATTGTGCACCGGGACGTGAAGTTGGAGAATCTCCTACTCGACGAGCATGGCACCGTTTCTGGGCTGCGAAGCCTGCGAAGCCTGCGAAGCCAGCAGGTGGCTGTGGCGTGTGGGTCGGGGAGAAAAAGGCGTCCATTGAAACAGGCAACTAGCCTGGGGCTCCCAGCTCCTTTCACTGAAACACACTGAAACGACCTGAAATCTCTAGGGGGTTACAAAGATCTAATGGACAGGGGTATTGAGGTTTCAGGGGTGCTGGGAAGCATAGGGTTTCCACATGCTGGCACCCACCCTACAACGGTTCACCTCTCGCCCATCCCATCCTTTCGTCCCAAGGTGAAGATCATCGACTTCGGCTTCAGCACCATCGTGCCGCCGGGGAAGAAGCTCAAGGTCTTCTGTGGAACGCCTTCCTACATGGCCCCAGAGATTGTGGCCAGGCCAGGACCGGTCGGGGACCGCCGAGGGCATGGCTGAGGTACAAGGAGCTGCCGCCCTAAGAGCTTGGCCGACATTGGATGTGGGCCAGAGTGGAAACTTGGAGTAGGAGTAGATGAGATTGAGCCGGGCAGAACTGCCCAGTTGCTGGAAGCCATGTAGGAGACCCTAGAAAGTCGAATGCCATGTACATAAAGCCACTTCTTTTATCTTTTGGTTGATGGAAATGGATGGAAATGGATGGCATGGACAACATGCTGTTGAGTGAGGCTGCAAAGCCCACAGGCTTGCACGGACATGCTCAGCTGTGCCCACCCCCACCTCTCTCACATGTTCAGTTCGAAAAGGGCTTCGCTGCATGGCCAGGAAGGAGTACACAGGCTTCTGTGCCGATATCTGGGCCATGGGCGTCCTTTTGTACGCTCTGCTCTGTGGCAGCTTCCCCTTCCGCGGTCAGAATGACCGCGACCTCTACCGAAAGACGCCTGTTGTCAACCCGCAGGGCGGGTCCCGGGAGAGGGTTCTGGTGCAGATCAGGTTCAAGAGGCACGAAGATGTTGAAGTGTGAGAATTGGAGGGTTCCAATGACACACTTGGTGGCTACTTGTGGTGGGAAAGACTGGTTGCCTCCTAAGGGGTGTCGAATTGTAGCTCCTTAGAGGTGACTTGGGATGTTCATGAACCGCCCCAAAGAGGGTGGCCCTGGTACATGCTTATACCAGGACCCTCCGACAGGCTGTTTTGGGACCCTAACAGGTGGTTTCTGGGCACCTGTTGCCACCAGGAAACACCTGTTCGAGGGTCCAGGTACAGGCTCCTATCAAGAACATGGGCAAATACCACTGCTTCTCAGGATTTGGGTGTGAGAGCAGACATGCCGGACACCTCAAAGGGGTCAACACCACCCGGTGCGGAAGAGACCATACGAGGAACCTGATGGAATGGACCAGACTGGACGATGTTCTGCATATAGCAACCCAGTGGTTTTCAAGTTCCATGTCAAACTTTTGGAGCGTTTTCCAGGTCATTTGGTGAAGCCAGGCTGCACCCCAAATCCCCCCATCCCATTCTACGGCGGGACCAACGCTCCGACCGTGGTTCAGGATCGTCCGTGGTGTCTTCCACATCGCCGACTTTGTGGGAGAAGGCGCGAGCGCGACGTGCTTCGAACAAAGCTGCCCCGAAACAGACGGTGATCCCAGACGGCGGCTCTGTTTTCAAACAGGCCGGTTCGGGTCCGGACCCATGTAAGGAGTAGACGGGTGTGATCATCAACTCAAAACACACGACAAAGTAGCTGCTATACATGATGCATATTGCTACTCATCCGGTTTGGTTTGTTCGCTGGGTATGTGAGAGAATGTGTGGGTGTTTCGTGCTGGTCTCTTGGGGTTGACCAATTTGACAAACCGAACACCATGGTACCGGTGGTACCGATGGCTGAGTGGTTCGTTGGCCCAGGCGTTTAGACCGTTGGCTCAGGTGTTTTTGGACCGAGCCTGGAAGAGCAACCTTCATGTCGACGACACGTTTTGTTTGTGCGATGCATGCCATGTAGTGCAATCAACTCGAGCGCTTAATGTTGAGATATGTTGAGGGAAGGTGGCGCATGGATGCTTGCAGGTTGAGGTTGAGATGTCAAACTTCCACGATGAGTTGTGCAGTTGATGCATGCATATCGGAATATCGTTTGATCTCCCTCATGGGATCCTAACCTCTTTGGTATCAATGAGTGAATTCTTCAGCCGATTCACCCCTCGATGTGTTTCAAGCGCTGACTGTCTTTCTACTCCACACGGTTGTGGACAAGCAATGAACGCACCTCTGCTCAAGACTCGAGACATAGTCCACATACAGTGGTTTCAGAGTCGATGGCACAATCCCCGACAGGTGGTTTAGATTCCAGATGGATCCCTACACTATACGTAACTATAAAAGACATCTTGGGGTGCCAGTGCCATCTACTCTGAACCCACTCTACATCCCGACGGCTCATTTTACCCCTGAGAGGGTAGTGGTGGATTGTGAATCCCAGGTATGGAACCCAAAGGGTGGAACTTGGCTAATTGACCCTTCCAGCTTCCGTGTGTTTGGTTAGCTTCTTTTCTTGGCTGAGTTGGGACTGGGACTCCCAAAATCACATAAATAGCGACTGCAACAGATTCTGAATGTTTGGTTAAATATTTTTCTTGGCTGAGTTAGTGAACAAACATCACCAAAACCGACGCTGACAGCTGGAACACGAGGCGCCAAGAGCATGGTGAACCGCGCCTTGACCACGGACATGCTGCGCCGCCCCAGCGTCGACGACTTGTTGGCGGATGCCTGGCTCTCGGCACACCGCGAGGAGGGCGCCGCCAGCCGCCGAGCCGCGGTTCAGCCGGGTTTCAGCCAGAGAATGCATGGGAGAGACGGGGACGGACAGAGAGAGAGATAGAGAGAGAGAGAGAGATCGATAGATCGGCAGATGGATAGATGGATAGAGGGATGGATAGAGTATAGAGGGATGGAGGAATGGATGGATTGAGGGAGGGAGGGAGGGAGGGAGGGATGGATGGATGGTGTTATACAGGGGCCTCCTAAAGGGGCCTACTAGTAGCCACTTGGAGGTGATTCGGGGTGACCATTAGCCACCCCAAACAGGATTGCCCGGCGCCTGGAATCATCATGGTTTTGTAGAGTGAAAAGCCATCTATTTGGTATTCGGAAAATTGACGAACATTGTTGTTTGTTCTTTATTCAGGGAAAACTGCAATCCACGTAGTCATGATGAAACGAAGAGTGTAGTTGAAGTCGTACTTAGCTCAAGCTGTGACCAGAGAGACCAGAAAGAGAGAGAGAGAGAGAGAGGGGGAGATCCTGACATCCGCGGTTTCACGAACGGCCAATTGGTCCTTTTTCATTATATAGTATACCGGTATAGTGGTAGCCAGACTTTGCCGGTTAAGTGAAGCTTCAGCGCGACGTTTTGGAAGCATTGCATCAAAAATGCTTTCGTTGAAGTGAAGCTGCTCGAAAGCCGTAACAAGACCCTTGGACTTCTTCAGGTAAGCCGGTCTACCAGCCGAACAGCTCCACCACTTCCAGTCTCACCACCTGTGCGCCCAGCAGCGGCACCGAGCACTCTCCGCGGAGCGCGAACGGCAGCGCGGCGCACAGCCTGGCGGCGCGGAACGGCTCCGCGCCCCCGCCGGCGCCGCACCTGGACGCGCCCAAAGGGGCCACCATGCAGGCGCGAGAGGTCAAGGAGGAGAAGGATGTGGCGCGAACGCCCACTCAGGCGGGCCATGGAGGGTGTGAGGATGTGGGCGGGAAGCACTTGAGCGACAAGGTTGGCAATGGTTTGCAAGATGTTGCAGCTTGTTTTGCCATTTTGGGAGGGCCCGTGACTGACTAACGCCTTCCAGGTGGTTGGAAGTTGGAACTGTGATGTTCATGTGCTAGGGATTGCATGGTCAGGATGCTCAGGCTTATATAGAGGCAGATTTCACTGATGAGTTGTTTGAGAGAACGTCTACCAATGACTGGGACATGTGGGGAACCATGTAAAACTCAATTCATTTCAGGAGTTCCAGCTACCGGGACCTTAAAAACCCATTCAATGCCACTCCTTGAAGTCTCGTGACCATTGGTTCATCCATGTTCATCCGAAACCCACCGATGGTCTCCGATGTCCCAAAGCCTAAGCGCTTCGGCATCAGCCAGGTGTCGGAAGCGACGATCACCGATGAGCGCTACAACCGACGAGTGGAGGAGGAAGCCATTAGCAAGCTGGAGAGGCTTGGATACCCTCGACGCTTGGCAGATGACCATGACGACCCGTCCAGTCGAAGTGTAATTACCCCTCAGTCAGTGTGGAGGGGGCCGTAAACAAGTGTGGTCCTGCATGGTCTAATCTGATTGAAAAGAGAAAAGAACAGAGTCAACCCATCTGACACCAATGGTAACAGAAGCCATTTGAATTGAACACCCTCTTCACATGGGGAGGGCTAATTCATCAAGAGTCTCCATGACTCAGATGACTCAGATGACGAGTCTCTCCACCAGTCATCCGGGGCAAAAACAACCACACATCTCCGCGTCCGTCCGGGTGCCCGGTCGGGTCGGGTGCTGAGCTGAAGCAACGTCTGTCGAGAGCGGACAGAGGTTGAATCACCGAACACTCCGAGAAGGCACAGTGAATCGGCTCAAATGGAGAGCGACAAAAAAGCATGGAGGGCTCGTGGTGTGTGGTGGATTTGGTCTTAGAGAGTATAGAAGTCTTTTCCACTTCTTTCTGCGAAACAAAGGCCAATTCCAAGGGCTGGAACCAACCATGGCATGGTTCCATTTGACCTCCTTCATCGGCTCTCAACACGTCCATCCTAAGGAGAGGAGATCGTGCGGCAGCTCAAAGACCCGTCGTCACACCTATGCCGCTTGACCCGTCGTCAGACCCAGGAACAGTGGAGAACCTTTAGTGTTTTTGGGAGTGATTGAACAGGTAGAAACGGGTTAACCGTTATTTATCTTTATTTTCCAGCGAAGCTGAAGGAGTCAGACATAGACATCGATGTGTTCACCTGCCAGCAAACCATTTTTTGGTTGAGTCTTCAAAGCTGAGCGCTCTTGCATTCGCACGGAATTACTTGAATTTAGCTGCGGTTGCTGCCAGTTCTGCCAAACGCAGGAGTAGTTCGGTAGGCCAATAAGGCTCACTGGAATCTATTGGTATTTCCGTGGTATTTCCCTCTACCACCTCCTGACCCGCATCTGCACCCTTGCCGAGACGTGCGGGTCCACGCTCTCCGTGCCCAGGCAAGCTATATCACCGCTTCCTGAAAGCCCTCACCGCTTGGGACTCCAAAAAGTGATCCAAGAACAGGGTAGCCCCGAAGCCCCGAGCCCCCAGAACCGTGCTGGCTGGCTGTTGGGCACCACTCACATCCGAAGGTGAGTATTTGTACAACATGATATTCATCGATTTGGGCTTAGAAGGGGCCACCCGTTTTGTTGAAAAGAACGCATCAGTTGGGTCATGTATGGCTCTTGCCTGTGATGGGTCCAGTTGCTGGAGGCTGAAAGGTGTTGAGCCCCCCTGTGAGCGGGAGCTCCAACGACTTCAAAGACCTACACTGTGGGATGTTCCCAAAACCACAGCCTTTTGAGCACCTAACTTCAGATGCATCGATTGAGCTGTGTTTTTTCCCCAATTGCTTGGCATTTGAACCCAACACAGTGGAATGCAAAAACGTCGACCCAGATCCGCTTAAAGCGTGGCTGGGACGTCACTGTGCTGGTCCCGGTTCAATTGTGTCAACATCCCAAAGCAGCTCGTTTTGGAGAACTTGCCGCGTGGAACTTCCCCCCCAAAAAGGTTTTTATAATTTTTTATATAGATATCCCAGAGTTCTAGGAATTTCCTTTGCTTCAGTGGTGCCAAAGATAGCTTTGGGACTTCTAAGGCTTAAAACAACTTGGCACCTGGAGTCTTTCATTGAACTTCCACCGGAATTCGGTTGGATGCATCATCCTCCTAGTGGCCAACCAGTAGGGACCGGTTTCCACATCATCCACATCTGGACCATGGGGAGTGTTGGAGCCCAATGTTTTGACACACATGTATGCCTCGCGCTGTCGGTGTGCCCGATGGAGACACACACACACAATATTATCTAATGTATAGCCCCGTTGATGAAGCAAATCCCTGATGTAGAACATTGTAGAACCATTCTCCTACAAGGGCGCAGCATCGAACATGGGCTTTGCATCACCCCCGTAGGTCGGTTTGCCGAATCCGCTCAGCGAAAAGACGGGGATCCTTTCACCATCCTTCACCCAAGAAGACTGGTCGGTTTTGACTCGTTTTGATGAGTTGCTTCACTGCTGTGTGACCGGTGACCTCGCTCCGTGCTGCTTCACATTCTCGACTCACCCCCTGTGGCACACTCTGTCTGCATGGTGACCCCCCTGCCGGATGCAAGAAGAAGTCTTATGGACTCCCCAGGAGTGCAAATCAGTCAGATGACCCGAGTCTAGGATTTTTCCTTTTCTTGGTGCTACAGATCGTTTTGGTTGTTCTCGGTTCTTGGCGGGGGAGCCACTTTTGTCACAAGGAGCCAGCTGAGCAGAGACCAACTCCGGGCCGGCCACTCCAATCCGAAGCCTTTCACAGCCATCACTAGCTGAACCATCGCTTGGCCACGCTCGCAGGAGCATTGCCATGTGAGCGCGCCTTCCAAAGGGGAAACCTCCCAGTTCTTCTTCCCTGGAAGAAGGAACATGGACCAAAACCCATTGGTTGGGTGTCCCCCTATGAAAATGGCAAACCCATCTTCTGGCCGGCCCAGGGGCCTAAGCCTCGGCTCCCCGAATTTTTGTGCCAAACAACGTGCGAACTGAACTGGCCCACAGAATCTGGCGCCGCCGTTCGGCGAGTGGACAGACGGACAGAGCAGCATTGAGGTTCCACTGATGTGCTCATATAGGCAATAGACTATAATAGACTATATTCATCCATGTGTATATATATATATACTGTAGTTAATATATATATATATACACGATATACATGCAGTAATTATATACTTCTCCGGGGGTTCAAGACTATAATATAGACCATAAATGAGCCAAAAAAGACATTCCTTTAATTCGGTGCTGCCAAATAGATCCAAGTAGTCTTTGGACTTCTAGGGTGTGATATTGTTGTGGCTGTTTGTGGGAGGCTTGGGGTATCTCGAGGTATTGCATATTGGCAGTGGCATGCAGTGGCCAACTGTGTTTGTATAGTATAGTCAATTTGCGGGGATGCGGTAATGAGTTTCACCCGTTTTCAGCCTATTCTCCATGATGTTTTAGGTAGCTCCCGACCAATCTACCTGTCAAGTATGCAGATGATCAGGGGCTCAAATCGGTACAAGACACCAAAACACATCGCGCAAGGTGCTTGAGTCTGAGAAAAAAACAGCACGCCCACCGCCAGGTGGCTTTTTTCACCTCCAACACCTGTTCTCATCCTCGCCCTGATTCGTTTGACCGTTCCTCATCCCTCCAACGCTCCGGCGGCTGCTTCGGTGGACCCGACTAGACCGCGACGACCCCCCCAGTCGTCGCGCCCCCAAAAAGTTCACTGCGTCTCACCGGTCACTGCTGGGTCGACCGAAAAGGCCCGGGTGGGAAAAAAGAGGCGGGTTCTGCCGCGGTGTTGGGGGGGCGGGTTCGGAAGTGTGGGTGTGGGTGCCAGCCAGTTGGTTTGGGGTGGTTTCTCGGGGCCCGGGGAGGCTCTTTACGGAGAGAAACGCTTGAAAGAGCATGTTGGATGACCATCGCAGCTGGCCCTCGCTGGCAGCCAGCCGTTTCACTGGAGATGAGATCCGTCCATCGCCATGGGTGGTTGACACGAGTGATCTTCAAAGCCCCGGTACCAGCAGCATTCAAAGGGTGGTGATTGGATGGAAAATGCATCGTCAGGAGGGTCTATAAACCATCCACAGTCTCAAGCTGTGATAAGTTGCGGAAGGCTGTCCAATCACCCCCCCAATGCCACAAGCATCTTCCAAGATTTGCATTCCCTGGGTCAGTTGCCACTCTTCACGAATCTGAAACACATCTTTGGGCTGCCGCCATGTCACAACTGGGTGCTTTATTGCAAGCACTCCGTGTGCTGCGCGCAGCGCGCGCAGCTGATGCACCTGCCGAGCTGTGTGAGTCCTTAGTGGAACTGCTGCTGGCGGATTTGACCTGGCGACTGGGATGGCAAGAGGGGTCAAGATGGGACCAAGCTTATCCCACAAGTCCAGGCTGGCCCAGTAAAACCTGGTCTGGAACCTTGAGTGGTTCGGTATGACCATCTCCAGTTAAATTGAGGTCTTGGGGTTGTAGGGCTTCATGTTTTTCAAGTCTAAGTGAACACCTCAGCTCGCCCGACCTCGGTCCGAGACTCGAAATGTACATTCCCATGTCAGCCCTTGTCAAACCAGCATTTCATGTCCCAGGATGTATTCGTGATCCAGAACATGACACCGACCGCAAGGACGCGGCCCAAGCAGATGCAAGGTGAATATAGTGGCCTCTAGGCCGAGGTAGCATGCCACGAGCATCGAACATCGATGCCTCTCGTACGAATTCGGTAGCAAGGACGAAAGGGCGTGTTGCGATGGTGAGGCCTGTCGTGTTGGGTCAAAAGTGTCATCATACCAACTTTGAGTTGGTAGCGGAGCACTTGGTGCTCTGCTGCCGACGCTCAGTTGGTCTGGTGATGCTCTTGAGCCTGCTGTTGTGGTTTTGCATTGACATTGAGGAGGGGCAGATGTTGCATCCCTTGTCGTTGAACAATACCACGGCTGAGTTCACGTTCACGAGCACACCAGATACCGAGCTGAGTGTTGATGAAGGCAGCAGTGTGGGATCCATGAGGGGCAGAGAATTGGGAGCAGTTGAGCCCATACAGTTGTCGACCACCACAACTTCTGTTGAGATCTGTTGAGCGTGTGTTCACTACATCGTTGACAGAGCTGACAGGCGAAGTCATGATTGGAACATATTGGAACGCATGATGGGAGGATTGTGCAGTTGGCAGCTGGCATGCAACCGGATTGGAACACGACGTCTATCGCAGTAGACAGGTTGCAGAATAAGAGCCCTGCCTTGAATGACGAGACGATCAACGCCGGAAATCGTGTGAAGCATGGTACATTGTTTAATGTTTTGGATCTGTTGATACAACACAATCTCACATACAAGTTGAACAGTGGCGACATGTTTCTTGAACGGCGCTTGATGTCAACAGGAGTGAACGAGAAGCTCAATGCCGGAACACGTGATCGGAGCGAGAGGAACTGGTGGAGCTTTAGCATTCTTGACATAAATGGGGTTGATAGGACCGATGATGATGCAATAGGCAATGCTTTGTACTTGGAATACTTGGTTGCGAAAAGAAGATGGCGTAGATTCACCGGTAAGCCACCCAGAACATATCGTCGTTTTCACAATCGCCGAGATATCCAAGCTAGGCATAAGCATCGCGTGAGCCAAAGTCCATTTGCTCGATCGTATGCCGCCTTTCTTCCGTCAGGAGCATTTGCTGGAGGACAAGGCAAAGGAAAAGGAAAGGGCAAAGACTTTGGGCGAAAGAATCCCCGTGGGAAAGATGGCAAGACTTTGCTTTGTGCGACATGTGGTTCAGACACCCACCTGTGGAGACAGTGCCCCAACAAAGGTCAGGTGGAGGAGGTCAGGCTTCTTCGCCGCCATCCATGGCCAAGGGCCGGAAGAGTATCAGATCCATACCGGTTCGTCGTCCGCACGCAGTGGCCTGTCAGGTTTCGATGCCGAGTTGGAATCTCTTCGAAGTGTTGCCACATCCAACCAGAGTCGAAGCAAACGAGTAGAAGACCAGAAAGAAGAGCAACCAAGATCAAAGGCTCGAAGGTCCGAGGACGACGGCAGTGCGGACGTAGTCGAATCGAGTCCCGTTCGTTCGAAGCGCAAGTCCGCGAAGCCGTCCAACACAGTAGAGCCAACGGACATGCATGATCATGTCATTCCTGTCAGGTCAGTCGCATCAGACATCGCAGCCGTCGAATGCATCCAGTTTTCCGTTGGTCAGCAAGGAGCGCAAGCAGTGTTGAGCATGACGTCTATGAGGCCCGCAGCATTCGATTTAGGTACAAGGCCTTCACATAGGCAGCCGGTTTCAAGTTCTGAGTATGGAACACCGGAAGGACAGTCATCCAGATATGCGTGCCACCGAGCAGCGTGCCACCGAACATGCCTTCGCATGATGTGTCTCCGGGTCGTCGTGTGTTAAGTCTCGAAGAGTTGATTCGGGAGCACAATAGCGAATATCATGCATGGTGGGAAGATCAAGTAGCAGAAGCCGCAGGTGTAGCCGACCACTCCGCTTACCACACCAGGACTCGTATTGCAGGAAAAGTAGGATTGCTTGTTGACCCGGGCGCTCATGACAACTTGATAGGCGGCCATACATGTGAGTTGATGCGCAAACAATTGCAGAGCACTGCCAAAGAACGCAAGTTGGATAGGCCTTTAGTTGTGTCTGGAGTCGGCAAAGGGCAGAGACCTCTGTCACCGTGCCGTGTTCTTTCAAGACAGTGAACAATGATTCCACCCAAGGAAGCTACACGGCGCCGATCGTGCCAGAGAGTTCATTACCACCGTTGTTGGGTCTCAAGAGCCTTCGGAATAAGGGAGCAATTGTCGACACTCGCACGCCAGCGCTGATATTGCCAGGCCATGGCGGAATAGAGTTCAGGTTGAGCCGAGGGAGTCAGGTTCACAAGCTGGAGATCCGTGACTCGGGACATTGATCCTGCCCGTGCAACCACAGAGCACTGATTGATCCTTCGGAGAGAGATGCCTGCCAGAGCCTTGAGTTCACCATGCAGTGCCGCAGGAATCAGAGCCGCTCTCGATCGCACAGTGAAGGTCGTAGGAGCCCACAGGCCGGTCGTGTCAGTTTGTGAAGACTGATTCAGTTTCACCAAGACAATTGTACTGTTTCAGGTGAACTGGCTGTTCGTTCAGTTGATGCAGTGCAAAGGGTTCCCAAGTCCGTAGAGTCATCGACGCCAGAAGGACCGCTCATATGGGTCCTGATTGACGTTGGGCCAGTACTCTTTCATTGCCTTGGGTTGCCGTGTCGTAAGTGTTTGGTTTGATTTGCACTCAAAGTCCCAATTGAATCAAATGTTGCATGCTCTCATAACCCAACGCCCAGTGTTGATTTGGGCACGTCTCCATGGTCCGTGTATAGGATCAGGACCAGGAAATAGGCATGATAATTCCAGAGCTTTAAACGTCAGCCAAGTCTTGCGTCGACAGCGAGCTTTGAATGGTGGTGTTGTGCTTGAGGCGAACCAGAGATCGCATGCTTGGCATCTTCAGGCATTTAAGTCGTTTCTTGAAGGTTGTGAAGTAACAGGGTATCGTGCGTGCAGATATTGTGAACCGCCATGTCCCATGGTTACGCAGATAGTCACAAACATTGCATTAACTTCGCGGTCAGATTGTTGTTGCCATCCCAATACTAAGCATGCTCATCCTTGACAGCCACAACTCAGGCGCAGATGATGAATGCAATCATCCATGCCGTAGCGCATGATGGCTTGATACGTCTTGGTATTCCTGTTTCCGCCGCCGCGGACAGCATGAGCAGGCAACCCAAATTGGAAGTTTTTCCATATCCGAAGAAGCAACAGATTCGCAGAATATTCGCCTCTCAGCATTGCACACCAGATCAAAAGCATCTCGTAGTGACATAGTCAAGAATGCTGTTCAATTCGAACCAGAAAGTAAATTGACGGAGAGAAGGTCGAGGAAAGAGCAAGACATGCATCCGAATATATCGAATCAATCAAATCGTGATCATACTGATCGACCCACATCGATGATCGAAGGCTGCAGTAATGATTGGAATAGTTCTCCCCATAAGATAGTCCAAGTCGCAGATTCATTGGAGATTGGCGGCCATAATCCCAATAGTCCAACCATTAAAGATAATGATCGGAGATTACCATCGAGATCGAAGCACTCAACCTGAAAGTTCGTTTCCGACAGAGGAAGCTGAACGAGCCAAGGCCCAGAAGAAAGCAGGACACATTGCAGTCAAACGCAAGAAAGTCATGGAGATCCATCATGACGATTGCGGTGAGAATTTGGACAGTCTCGGACCAGATATGTCGGAAGCGGAGAACCATACTCAGTCACTTTTCGAGCATGGAGTCTTTAAGTTCTTGTCTAGGTTTCAACAGAAGTTCAACCATCGCAGTGGAATTTTGGAGAACGACGGTTCGTCACAAATGTCAATGTTTCTTGCTCAGGTTGCAACTTGGCCTGATGATTCATGTGTTGATGTTGTAGAGATCTTTGGAGGGAGCGGACATACGTCAAGCATCAGGAGGCACTGTTGTCGCACCGGTGAGAACTTTGAAGCCACAGCTGGTTATGAACGGTTGAATTCACGAGATGTTGCCAGTTTGTGGATATACTTCAAGAACTCTCGACCGTACATAGTAATAATGGCGCCTCCATGCGGAGGTTTCGGACCATGGGTTAGACTAAACCGCATAATCTATCCAACAGCAGTCAACGAAACTCTTGCAGTAGGATTGCAGTTGGCCGAACTCTGCGCTGCCATAGCCCGATTCCAGTTGAAAAATCATAGGCATTTCATCGTGGAACAACCATTAGGTAGCGAGATGTTTAGGCTTAAGTCATGGGAAACAGTTCTCAAATCCGCTCATCGTGTGACCGTAGACCAATGCCAGTTTTGTCTCAAACACCATAAACCACCACACCTGCCATTGATGAAGCCCACAGAACTTTGGTCATCACGTGAGACCATTTTAAGATATCTTCATGGACATAGATGCAGTGGTAGGCATGATCATGGTAAAGTCACACATGAAGCTCAGATATGGCATTATCAACTTTGTTCGAATATTGCAAGAGGCATTGCAGAAGCACTCATCGAGGACAGTCAGTTGGTGTTTGTTCAATACAGTTGTCCAGGGTGTAGGGGCCATGATCATGTCGGAAGACATGATGCGAGACACACTCGTGATGAAAATTGCAAGCGTCCCGATAAGAGACCCTGCCATTCCAGCAGCCGCCGAACCGACTGGGAGACTTCGAGTCGACCATACGCCTATAGTGGAACGATCTCGGGAAGACCTCGAAAAGAAGGCCGATGATCCGAGAGGTTCAGTTGCTGAATCGGGTAGAGGTGCAAGGAGGAGGGATGCCGCAACTCAGGCTGATTCATCAGCAAGACGGGAGAGTGGTGGAGGTGCAGCATCTTCTTCTCACGAAGTGTCGGATGGGCACGTACCGCCCGTTGTTCGCGATGCAGCTGTTGTGCCAGTCCCTGAGGACAGAGGTGATCTCGATGAGCCTCCTTGGAGGCAACATGATCTCGGAGCAGTCCTTCAGCAGCTCAACAGCATTAGGCCGGGCATTGTACGCCGCGCGCGTCGACGCCTGCATATACGATGGCACCATTGCAGCGCAAAGAGAATGAAAATGCTTTTAACTGCCGCAGGAGTCAAAACAGAGATCTTTGAAATTGTAGAAGAAATAGTGAGCACTTGTTCTATATGCCGTATGTGGGCAAGACCAGGGCCTAAATCTATCGCTAGCACCAGTCAAAGCACTCGCTTCAATGAAACAGTGCAATATGATTTAGCCTTTGTGAAAGAACATATAATACTTCACATGATTGACTGTTGCATTCGTTGGAGCGCCGGAGTCTCAGTACCTGACAAGCAGGCCACAACCTTGATGAATGCCATGGACAAGTTGTGGTTTCGTGTTTTTGGCTCCCCGCAAGAGCTGATAGGTGATAGAGAGAGTGGCGTGGCCGTCCCAGAATCAAGTGCTAGGTTTCTTGAAGTTCGAGGGATTCAGTTGACTTTGAGAGCGAGAGGTCAACATGCGTCATTGGTTGAAAGGCGCAATGAAATTCTTAGGCAGCAGTTGCATCGCTGTGATGAGCAAGCAACAGACGACGGCCTGAGAGTTGACTTTGAGCAACTATTGTCCGAGGCGATGTTCGCTAAGAATAGTCTCTTTCTATTAGGAGGGCTCACACCGTATGAAGCACTGTATGGAAGAACACCACCTCTCCTAAATGTAGTGGATGCTGAGAGAGAAAGCCGAAGATTCGCATAGACTCAGAGTCATAGCCATCAATGCAATGGTGCAAGCAACCGCTAGTGCCAAAGCCCATCGTGCAGAACTGTCTAAGACGCGTGTCAGTGGAGAATTGCTTGATCTTAAACCTGGTGACCAAGTTGAGTTCTATAGACCGCCTTCGACTAAAGAAAATAGTGGTTGGATGGGTCCGGCAACCGTGGCAAGGTAGAACTTTGGATTGTAGGATTCAAGACGTTCGTCGAGCCTTGGTATATGTTTCTCTTCTTGCGTGTCATGATTCGGAATCACCTGTAACGGTTGTTCGACTGGCAGTAGAACGATGTAATGGCACATGTTGTCGGTTAGGATGGTTTCAGCAAAAGGGAAGTTGGCAAGCGTGTGAAGCCAACAAAACTCTGCTTTTGGCAGGACTCTATGTTGCAGGAGTCTGTCTGAATTTGCAGGGCACAATAGGTTTTCGCTATGGACGCAACGTCCGCGCAGTGTCAGCCGTGTCTTGCGATGATTCATTTCTACTTTGGTGGAATGCAGGTGACATGGCATGTTGGCATCACGCGTTCGTTCCAGGAACGTCACACATCAACCTGCCACGATTGACCGGCCTTGTAGAGCACAACCTGTGTTTCGCGCAGTTCTTTATGTCTGACAGTCTGACACAGAGGCCATAGCTCAGTTGAGGGTTGTTGTAGATGATGTACCAAACCTTGGTGGAGTCTTGAAACCAGGCGTGCCAAAGCTTGTAGATGTAAGTAGACAACAGCAGCCAGATCGTAAAGTGAAGATGATTGCGGACGATTCTGTTGGTCCCATATCAGATGAACCTCAACCCAGTGATGATAATGCCGAAGATGATTTTCAAGAAGTGTTGTATTTCAACTTCTGTGAAAGCGTTCACAGCATCGTAGGCCAAGGTGTTTTAGATGAAGGACATGAACTACTACCACCTCTGGAGCCTACGTTGTATGCAAGATCTACCACAACCTATATAGTTAGTCCCGATGATGATAATGAAACGCCAGAATTAGTCTTTACACATAAGTCGGCTAGGTATCTGTTTAATGCACCTACCATCCCAAAAGATTGTGAATTGGTATTCCAATATGATAACGATGCCATTCCAGAGGCAGTGATCCAAAGAGTAAATAACCTTTTGGATCGCACCGAAGCCATTCGCGAGGCCGACAAGTGTCGTGAAGCAATGGTCAAAGAACTTGAGAGGTGGAACAAGCACAAGGCCTGGTGTCGGCGACCGGCCGTAGGGTGCACGAACCTGCTTCAGTCCCGATGGGTGTTGAAATGGAAAGAGATGAAAGGGGGACGTGGCATAAAAGCCAGACTTGTGGTGCAAGGGTTCCTAGATAAGCAGGCAGTTCAAAACTATTCGGGTACCACCACCCGGTGGGGTCAGAGGTTAATTTTGATTTTGCCTGTGCAGTTCTCATGGTCATTAGTAAGTTTAGACGTTTCTGAGGCTTTTTTGCGAGGCATAACATTTAAGGAACTTCATGAAGCAGATCCTACTCAACCTCTTCGGACAGTCCAATTAAAGGTACCTCCGGGCAGCGGAGAGTTGATTCGATCCCTGACTGGGATGCAGGACTTCGATGAGAGCAAGGAAGTGCTGGAAATTCTTAAACCGGGTTTCGGACTTAAGGACACCCCGCGATTATGGAACATAGCCCTCAAAAGAGTTCTTTCAGAAATAGGTGTTCAACCAATAAGCACGGATCCCCAACTTTATGTGAAACATGCAAATGGAGCATTGGTTTTGGCCTTAAGTGTGCATGTTGATGATCTCAAACTGACAGGACAGCCACATGAATTAAAACGAGCCAAAGAGGTGCTAGAACGTCATTTTGATGAACTCAAATCCGAAGTAGATAGATTCGAGCATTGGATTGCGTGCGATATGACCTTGAGCCAAGTGGCATCCGCACTGTGAGCCGGTCGCATTATGTGAAGGAACTTCGAACAATCCCAGATGCGGACTTGCGACAACACCCCAATGATCTTGTGGACGAAAATATGCAAAAGCTTTTCATGTCACTGCTTGGAGGGGTAGCATGGACCACTCAAACCAGATTAGATATTTTGGTTTTTGTTTCCGCCTTGCAAAGAAAGCGTAAGAATCCCACAGGTCATGATATCATTGCAGCAAGCCGCATTGTTCGATATCTGCAGAGAAATCCAACGGTCTTAAAATATGACAAAGTAGACAACCCTAGGAGACTCGTAGCAGTAAGCGACAGCAGTTACCAGAGCAAAGAGCCAGACTGTCTTGCAATGAGAAGCGGAGTCATTGTCTTGACCGGTAAAGAAGGCTTGAAGGTTGGAGACAACCAGGTGCAGCTTGTGGACTATCTTTCGAAGAAACAATCTCGAGTATGTCGTAGCACTTATGCAGCAGAGCTTTTCTCCGCGTTAGACTTGGTTGGTGCAGCAGTGAACATCAATCTAGGACTTACAGAAATTTTAACAGGCATAAAGGGACCAAGGAAGCTCGCAGACCTTAGAAACTGGCAGAAATGTGCTGGAGCTTGATTGCATCATCGACGCACGATCTGTTCTCGATTGTATAGCACAAGACCCAGTTCGCACTCCCAATGACAAAAATATTGCTGATTCACGCACTAAAGTTACGCGAACACCTCGAGAGGAAGCAAATCAGCAAACTGATATGGGTTGACACCAGAGACATGGACGCTTTGAATAAAGGATCCATCAGCCGTGATGCAACAAAATTGGCCTTGATTCGATTGCAGTATAAACCACACATTTTCGAAATCGCCACCGCCGCAGAGCAGCAAGCAAAGCTTTGAGCAGGCAACCTAACTCGAAATGTACATGTCCCTTGTCAGCCCTTGTCAAAACCAGCATTTCATGTCCCACAACCTATTCGCGATCCAGAAGATGACACCGCCCGCAAGGACCCAAGCAGATGCAACGTGAATATAGTGGCCTCTAGGCCGAGGTAGCATGCCACGAGCATCGAACATCGATGCCTCTCGTACGAATTCGGTAGCAAGGACGAAAGGGCGCGTTGCGATGGTGAGGCCTGTCGTGTTGGGTCTCATCATACCAACTTTGAGTCCGAGTTCCGGTCGGAGGAGGTCCGAAAACCGTCGGGAAGGCGTCGGTCGGAATGGCCACGGACCGGAAGGTGGAGAAGCCCGCGGTGGATCGACTGGGGCTACCCGAACCTTTCCTTGATGGTTTTCTCCAAATAGATCAAGCCATTTAATTCAGTGGGGATCGACTTTTCGTCCATTTTTTGGAGGGGGGTGTATACAACCTATTTAACCCATCCATCCAACAAGACAGCCAAGTGCATCCCAAAAGAAACATACGACAGTCGCACGCCTTCCATCATGTCGTTCGCTCCTGTTAGTGCCTTTTCGCCGAGGCTGGACGATGGGACCCGCCCGTCGGTGGCGCGCCTGGCGAAGGAGTTCATGGCCGTTGGGACCGCGGCGGTGGAGGCAGCGGGAGCGACCGATGGGGAGGGGAAGTGAGCCAGTCATTCCCAGTATATGGTGGCACCACTCAGGATTGAATGCCTGGCGAAGATGGATCCATATATGCCCCATACAGTGCATGTAGTGCTCAGCGGAAAAACGAGGCGCGGCTTGTCCCATCCATTCGACTACTCGTGTAGAGTCGAAGGACACACCAAATGGTGCATTTTTGTTTCCCTGTGGCCTGGCGTTATGGGGGCAATGAAACATGCTGGTTTGGAAAGCGACGGAGACTCGGATTTCTGGAGAACAGCACAAAGGAGTTACCACTGATCAAGGTCCAAGCTTGGAAGAGATGGCGCGCATGCGTGAAGCCAAGACCCATCATTGTTAAGAATTTCCCCAGCTCAACATGAACATCAACGCTTGTTGGTGGAAAAGATCACTTTTCCCAATCCCTCCATGATCGGCCAAAGGGTCTACCTTAAAATATGCATGGACACGGATGCACGCGCTGGTGTTTCTTGACCCCCAAACTCTTGAATATTAAAAAAGGGGCTCATCCACTTAGTCCAATGAGGTAAAAATCCACTGCTTCATACCACTTAATACCCTGCTTCATCCCACTTCCATGGCTGGGAGCCACGAAGCCTTAGAGAAATCATCCACGATACGTCTTAATCCTGTGAGTTCTCCCAAAAACCCCTCAGGATGAGGGCTGGGAGTTGGTGGGCGGCGAAGAGGAGGCACGACAGAGTTCTTTCTCAGGGCAAAATCGGCATGGCACAAGGGTGGGTCAGAAATGGTCAGAAGGCTAGCGGCTAGCAGCTGAAGACAACTCTGCACGTCAGACATGGCTAGAAGACGACATTCCTGGTGGGTCAGGGATTTGGAGAACCAGAACCTAGCCGCAAACGCGGGTGCTTCTCACTTCACAGCCATGATGATTTCAGGATATTATTATCCATCCATGTCCATAACCATCCTCAATAGAATCACAGAAGGTCTCCGAAGATGAGTGTTTTGGAGGTAACACGTCTTGGGGCACCCACCCCACGATCATGCAAGGGTGTGCGGGGGTGGGGTCAGCTGGGCCGGATGAAGAGTTCCTGGAACTACAGCACATGAAAATGGACGATGCATCTGAATCGTGTAATTAGACGTGTCCATGTCCAGAAAGACTCACACTGGGCGCTTGTGCCAACCACAGGGAATTAATTGATCTCAGTGTTGGGTCTGCTTGGGTGAACTGAAGGACATTCCAGCTCACTGGCCCGAACCCGGCGGAACCCGGAACCCGAGATATGAATGATTCTGAATGATGGATGTTTTTGCTTCGCGGAAGTCCAAGTTATTCATTGTACCTCCTAACAAGTGGTGGATCATGACTACCAGGTGGGGTAAGAGTCGACTTGGACGTTCTGGGGTGGTTCTTCTTCACCACGTGGCTGGAAGCTGTTCTGGCTAGACACTGCTCGAGCCGTGGACCAGTGCAGTAGGCTCGCGCTCGCCCGTCCGGCTCGGCGGGTTCGATCCACCATGCACCTCCATCGGAGGCCCCTTCACCTCCCTTCACCCGGTGGCGCACGGTCGATTGATTCGTTCTTTGTTCTGGGGCCCTGCATGGCCCTGCATGGCCCTGCATGGCCCTGCATCCTACAGTTCATCCCACAGGTCCAGCGGTCCGAAAGAAGACATGTTACAGTTCCGGTGCTTTGAGTGATCTGCTTGGAATCGGCCTACCAATGGGGGGTCCTGACGTAGTGAACTCGCCAGGCGACCCAGGCCGACTCCTGGTTGGAGACCCTTTTGCGGCTGGTGCGTGCCTATAGTGTAGGCAATCATCCGTGCTGGAAGGGGAAGATGAGGGGCGAGCGGAGGGAAAGTGGTGAGCCAGACTCTCCCCCTTCAGTGGAATTGACACATTTTGGAACCTCTTACAAAAAGAGACATCATCCTGGATCTTCCCAGTGATCTTTTGATCCCCTGGTTTGAGGTCACTTAGGCTTGTAAAAGGTCACTTAGGGACTCCAAAAAGGTCGGTCGTCTTTTTCCATTTCTGTCCTCCAAGATCAAACGGTCGGGTCTTAAATCGACACGTTTGATCTTAAAAAGGTCTTCCAGGTCTGCGGAAGCCGCAGTTGGCTCCTGGCCTTACTAGGAGCGATCGGACGCTACGTTCGGGGCTCCTGGCCTTACTACTAGGAGGTTTTCGCCACTTCCCCCCCTTCAGGGCCGATGCGTTGGGAGCACACGGGCTTGGTCTGGCGGGCCCACCATGTTCTGAGCCATGGTTGAACGTTGGCGCCCACATGGGGCCAATTCGATCAACACTGCTTTGGCCATTTCCTGGCGTGCTAGTGTTACGGCGTGGAATTAGCACATACCTGGAACTTCCACTGGTGTATTTTTCTGCCGTTTGGTGAAACCACATAGATTTCAGTCGTTTGCCACCAAACACGCCGATTCATTTCAATTTGCCGTTTCGATGTTTTGTATACAGAGGGGTTGCCAAATTACCGGTCGGCAAAAGTCGCCGTTTGGTTGGGAAAAGTTGCCGTTTCACAACCTTGACTTGGGATAGAAAACAATTCAATGCAAAAAAAGATTCAAGACAAACTAGTTGGCGTTTGGTTGAAAAAACGGTTTGATTGAAAAGGCAGACAGAAGGCATAGCTATGATTATGAAGACCCAGGTATTAGCACACGCCTTTCTGTCAAAGTATGTTTTTTCTCCGTGACACGTTGATGAGGTTTCTTCAAGATTCTTCGTGTTGAAAGAGGGAATGAACACTGCACACACACATACTGCATGACACATTTGACTTAATATTGAGTGCACAAAGGTTGCATAGGGGCTGGGACGGGGGGGCAGTTCGCAACGAGGTCAGTGTGCACATCTAGAGGCAACCGACGATTTGGCATACAGAATCACGATGGTTTTGAGTTTGGTGACCCTTTTGAGTTTGGTTTTGTTGGTTCGGTTGTGTGGGTCGGATGGGAATCCCCACAGGGATTTGGCTTTGGAGTGTTTGGCACTGGGCGCCTCTCTTTCAGTTGAACCCTCTGTCGCTAGATCAAACATCATGAATCATAACCAATTACAGTACATACTAATTTTAACGCAGCCCTTGTTAAATGACCCCCTTGACTTCGTTGTAACGCGCACAAAGGCGCATACAAAACACTGCGACACCAACAATGTCAACCTTTCCGAAATCAGCATGTTTCAGCAACCCTTACGATGCTGAAAATGGCTACGACCGAATGGCGCAAAGCCACTCAACACCTGAGCCCGAGCCACCGCCTAAGCACGACGTGCAACGGCTCATTTAGTAGAGAGCGGCCATGAACTTCAGGAGCTTGGGTGAAACCTGCAAAAGCGACAGGCCCCCTCAGAAGCGCACGTTTTGGCACAGGCTCACTTGAGTTTTGAACCACACCACGCATATCCATGGTGAAAAAAACGCTCAAAGCACACGGTCCCTCACAGATCTTACGGGTGCCGACACGATGTTTCAACGTAGGATGTGAGTGCTTCTATAATTATCTATGTCTATATACAATTTTCTATGTATGTACTTTATGCACTCCAATGATTTCCAATGTATTGCACGTATGTTAACATATTCATATTGGAAGCGTTGACTTAGAGACCATGTCCCAGATCAGTGAGGCGTCAAGAACAACGGCACCTCTCTGAAAGGCCGCGCCAGGCTCCGAGGGCCCAATCGCCAAGCCAGGCTCCGCCTTCGGCGAGGCGCATGTGCTGGTGTTGGAGATGTTGCTGTGCCTTGCCCTTGGAGAATTCGCCCATGTGGGATGAAAGGATGTGTCGGTGAAGGGCAGATAGGATAACACAGGGAGACCAAGGAGATAGGAGTAAAACCCCATGGTGTTCCACAATAATTAAGAGTTTCATGGAAGATGTGGCTGAAGAATTCGGATTTCCCCATTTTCATAGTTCCTCTCAGCCGCACCATGTGTTGATTTGGAGAATGGTGTTGCTTAGCCCACCCATAGCCTGAACATGCGGAAGTGCATGAGGCCCTTTTTGTTGAAACAGTTTTGACGGGACTTTCTATGAATGGTAATGGCTATTTCAGGGGAGGCGATCTGCATCAAGATGCGGAAGGGTGACATATTCAGGTTCCCTTTAAAAAGGGGAACCACGAAGTTGCAGGACATATAGCAACGACAGGGGTTGGCCTGTACTATTTCACTAACCCTGAGTGTCCAAATGGTTCGTTTTAACCCTACGGGTAGTGGTGGAAAGTACCAGGTGGGGTAAACGGACACGTCACGCCTCGGCGAGGGAGACGCCAGATCGGCCTTTCTGCAAGAGCGAGCCCCCGTGGCCTGCGCTGAGCTGCTCGGACTTTCACGTGGCGAACGCTTTTGATCTTTAACCGACAGTGCTTCGCAGTGCTTTGGTGTTTTTGTTGGGCTACATATTAAGGCCGGATTAGTGTACACCGTGAGTGAGATGATGAGTGCCTTCTGTGAAACGTATTGTGGGGCTGGGTCAAAACATAACATGGAAAAACACCACGTTGCTCGGAGAATTCTGGCTTTCGAGTGCAGGATGGGCAAATACATTCGGCGTTTGATCGAATGCTCGCAAATATTGCCCATACACTCCATGTATGCCATATATGGCTACATTGACCCCCAAACCACCCCAATGTATAGGCATATATGGCATAATATGGAGTGTCTGGGTTGGGCAACATGACGGTTTTGGTTTTTAACATCCCGTGGGAGAGGAACGACCGAACGATCCTCCCATCCCGTTGACCCGGTGACCAGAGAGGCTCGCGCACCTTCGATTAGCACACACGTTGGTTGGGAGGGTTAAACCATGAGGAAGCAGCCTGCCAGCATGGTAAGGCAAACCCGGAGTTGCAAAGGTTGTTGATGATTGAGACCGGCACCTCTGCCCGCTATGCTCCGCTATGCTCCACTTTGGTGCTGGGTGGAGGGTTCAGCGCATGAACCCTGGCACCTCCCGGTTGAAACCCGCCGCACGCCGGTTGAAACCACCTCTCAGGCCTTGCCAGTGATGAGCTGGAAACCTGTGAGGCCCTCTATGGAGTTGCTCGGTGTTCACCCCACCAGTGGTGTCCACTCATACTGGGCCGTCGGCCGTCGGCCTCCGGCCTCCGGTCGGGGAACGGCGGTCCCATCGCCCCTCATCCACTGGGGTCGAGACGTTTTCTCAGCAGTTCTTCCGTGTGAAGGTGCTACCAGTTGCGCTTGTATTCGGGTTCTGGGGCGCAGGCACCAAGTCTTGAGCTAGTCACGTTGCTGTTCAGGTGCTGCTGTTCTGAACGTAACTGCCTATCCACCTTGGAATGGTGTGAGGGTCGTCAAGTCTCAGTGAATTGCGTAAGACTACTGAAGTCCTATGCCATCTAGGCAGCAAACCTAGACGCCGACACATGAGGCACGGTCAAAACCTACAGAAGAAGACTACAAAGACAAAGAGATGGACGTGGGATCTTAAAACGCATGCTTTAGGCAAAATTTTGATATATACAATAGCCAAAGCAACATAAAGACAACCATTGAAAAACGATAAGAAACTTGCCAAATCCTGATGTGCTTTGGTTAGTACTATAGTCTCAACAATGGCCCGATATGCCAAGTCAAATGATTTCTCAGCAAACTCAGCGACCGTCCTGAGGAAGCTCTCTCCAGATATGACGACCGCATTGAAGTCACTGTTGAGGATGGGGCGAGGAGTTTGACACCAAAATTTGTTTTATGACATATATGCACTCCCACTCACTGTTGACATGGGAAAGCCCGCTGGTTGTAAAGGAAATCAGTCTTCTTAGGGACCATTTTCCACTTGCATGTTAGTGAGTCAGAGTGTATGTGGCCTTTCAATGCCTTTGACTATATATATTATAATTCTTGGCTGGTTGAGAGCCATCGAGATTCGAGATCCATCGAGGGGATACCCCTGGTATACCAGCACAACCAAATACAACCAATTGGTTCACCGGGTGTCTGACACTTGAGAACCCTCCCAAAAGGCCTCATTGTTTCAGACTGTTTCGTTCCATCCACTTCATCCCACTCTCTTCCGTTCGAACTGCATGTTTGAAATCCAGTTCAGTTCTCTGGAAAGCCTCTGGTTCAGTTCTCGCCTCTTAAGGCGCCCCAAGACCGGGGTCTTCCAAGTCCGCAGTGACTCCGGTCGACGTCCGGTGACCGGAACAAAACGGCCGCTCCGTTGGGTCCTGTGCAGCACCGCTGGCTCCGTTTCCTCCGGCCTTCACGCGCCATCGGAGGACCGCCTGGGGGTGGTGTATCGCGTCAGCAGCCAGGACAGCCTGGAGACGGGTCGGTTTGGAAGCGGTGTTTTGGAGCTCGTTTCGCCGGCACCAGGAACTGCAGGAGCGTTGAATTTGTATGATACGTTCTTTGGAAGGTTGCCTCCCCTTCCAACATCTTCAAAATCCATGGAATCTCTTCGTAATCCATCCCTAAGCTAAAGCTTGTGGCCATGCAGCCAAGAGGCATCAAGTGACAAGTGGCCAGGCAAAATCACCGAGAGCTTGGGGTTCGTTAGTTTTATGCTGTGCCTCTCCGTTTTCATTCTGGGAAAAACCTTTGGCGCTTGATTTGGCTGATCGCCTCAGTGATACATCCTGACCGTTTGAAAGGTGTTCCGAAGACCGCCCCTGATGTATTTCAACGACTCCATACAAACAAACCGCGCCTTTCCTTCTTTCGGGAACCAATGCGTCTACTGAGATCTACTGAGTCCTGCAAAAAGATCATGGCCACTGGCGATGGTCAGGACATGTTATATAAAATACAGTTGACCACCGTAAGTGCCTTGGTCTATGGTCCATTTCAGAGGGGCTCGATCATGTTGAGATGTTTTTTGGCTGCACAGGATCCGGGGGTCCGGGGGTTTGGCCGAATGAGGCATGCAGAAAACCTCAAAAGATTCAAATGGATACCTCCCCCCAATGAATCGAGCCATGAAGCATGGGCTGTGGCGAAGAAGTGGCCCAAGAAGCCCCCTTCGAGTCGGGCCGGTATCGTGCTGGCTGCACTTGGACTGTCCGCAGAAAGTCCAGAAAGTCCCGGGTTTGGAACCAGCAGCACATCTTCCATTTGAACTGGTCCGGTGCAAATAGAAGAGATGAATCTTAGCATTCTTTCATGGTCTTTCACACCCCATCGGGAAGAAGAAGTTGAATCGAATACATGAGCAGGACAAGACAGGAATTTCGAAGCACGTTGAAAGCATGTCGCTCTTCGATGGACGTGCACCGTATGGCACCGCAGTGGGGACACCCGCCGCCCGCACGCCGTCCGCCCACGGGCGGCCGCGCGTGTGGCCTGAGGAGCTCGCGCGGGTGGAGGCTCGTGGAGTCCAAAGTGGAGCGACGACCGGGGATGAGCGTTTGGCCAATGCCGCCTATGCGGTGCTGCAGAGGCGTTGATGCGACAGAAACCGTTGGGCATCGTTGGGCGATGAAGCTGATCAGAGGGTCTACGGCGCAGGCATCTTGCTGGTGTTCTTGTTCTTCTTCCTCTTCTTCTTCTTCTTGCTGTTGCTGTTGCTGTTGCTGTTGTTGGTGGTGGTGGCGGTGGGGCGTGTTATTGCGTGTTGGTGTTGGCTTCTACCAATCCCCTTTGGGTTTCACATCATCTCCCTCCCAGCGACCTGCCTCCCCAACCCCCGGTGCTGGACAGCACCGCGGCGACAGCGCCGCGCAGGTTCCGCGGCGGGCAGCTCACGCTGACCGAGGCCCTACGTCTGGCGCAGAGCGTGGCTGGCCGGTGGATGGCGTGGCTTGGCGGGGGAGGTGCTGGGAGGTGGGAGATGAGAGGTGATGGGATCCTGAAAAGGGATCTTGACGGCCGCTCCGCTCCCTTGAAAATTGTAGATGGGTGACTTGTAGGGGTCAGATGCCGGTTTTGGCTGAAGTTCTCATCGGGGCGATTGGTGTGGCCCAGTCTGTCTCCATGAACCGGTCCCGTGAAGAGGTGGTTTTCGTCACCATGATGGAAGGAGATGTACCAAGATGTGCAGGATAGCAGTCAACAGCTTCTTCCTGTCGGGTAGGTGCATGCTGGTGGGCAAAGAGTATGAACTCGCACAAGCCCAACATTGGACATTTATGTGGTTCTTTGCAAGCCTCATGGACATGGACATGGAGCAGCTAGCATGGCTACAAAGCTTCTTCACTAGGCACCCCCATCAGATCATCAAAGACTTACTGTATTAAATAAGCATATTAATTAATATGCAACTATCTCCACATATGTGCCATCTCCATTGTGCTCAATTCGTCCCAATCATATCCCATACCACACGTCCCTGTCACGCGCTTCTGCGCGGAGACTGCGCCGTACACCGCGGTGCGCTACTTGGGCCTCCGGGCCGAGGCCGGTGAGCGCCAGCTTTGTGCCTCGACTCTTTCTGGCTGCCTCGCCCGGCAGTTGGTTGGGCCTCCGCCAGGTGCGGCGGGGCGTGAGGTCGTCGAGGTATGCGAGGTATGCTCGCAGGGGTTCCCTGGGCGGAGGGAGGTGTGTCTTGGTGGTTTCTCCTCGGTGTTGTGAGTCTGGGGTTCAAAGCTGGTATGCAGATGAATATAGTGTAATTCTCCACGCTCTTAAACGACCTGTGACGTCCCCTGAAATTGGGGAGCCCGGGAGACCGTAATTTTCCTACACTCTAGAACGGCCTGTGGCTTCTCTCATTTTTCAACCCCTCCAAAGGACAATCAAATGGAGCTCATGTTGCGGGATCAAAAATAGGAGGAAGCCACGGGCTGTTTTAGAGTGTAGGAAAATTGCGGTTTCCCAGGCTCCCCATTTTTGGGGGACGTCGCGGGCCGTTTAAGAGCGTGGATAATTACCCAATATAATGTGTAGCAAACTTGTGTCGAAGGAGGTCCCCGGGGACCATTGAGAACCACATACCCGACAAAGATACACACCCGGGAAGATTAACATGGAACCTAAAAATGGACCTTTGGAAGATTACTTTCCTTTACAACCCAGTGGTTCTCAGGTTCTATGTTAATCTTACAAGATATATATATATATAATCGTGAAGGGAACCGACACAAGCCCACACAAAAGAGGCGAGGCAAAGGTGAGAAAACAAAAAAACCTAAAGGAAAAAGTCCCGAAAACGGAGGCAAGGAAAAAGAGAGGAGTCGACGCCTCTGACTGCGTCGACAGAAAGCAGCCGGTGATAGAAGAAGAAAAGAACAAATGCAAACAGGCGAGACTAGTCTAATAAGAAACGAAAAGCACAATGCAAGACATGAAAACCAAAGGAGAGAAAGGAAAGCAAAGAAAGAAAGGCAATCACAAGAAAAGAAAGACCAAAGAAGAAAGAATGCGACAGCAGGAAAATAAGAGGAAGGAAGACTAAGAAAGCCAGGAAGTGCCCCGAAAAAGGGAAGCTATCGTCGTAGCTTTGGGCTTGAGCATTGAAAAGTAGAAAGCAACTGTCGTTTGATCGTCGAACTTCAAATCGTCGGAGCCTCAGCGATTGGGAAGCGGCTTGCAATCAAATTGTGCCAGTGGTGGGCGTCGGCTGTGACATGTTTGAGGTTACCTGCGGGATGTTGGCTGTTGGGCCCTGAGCCGTTGATTTCAAAACATCAGATGAAGCGAGCGTATTCGATTCTCCTCGCTAGGTTCCACGCTCCAGAGTCTGGACCTCGAACGTCGATTGGCACGTTGTAGGGACGCTTCTGTAGATGGTTGTAAGTTGTAAGTATAGATTCTTGGACGAGGCCCCACCTCGCATCGTCGCCACCAACGCCCTCATAGGAGAGGGTGCCTACACGGTTGAGCACTCAGTGTCCTGAAGCCACCGACGCCGCATGAAGCTTTGGAGGCGATTCTGCTTGAACCGAGGTGAGGGGACATGGCGGGTGGTTTCGGCCACTCGCCGAGCGCATTCTTCGTGAGCGGGTGGCTATAGGTGGCCCGAAGGCGTGAGTGACGCGCAGGTTTGTTACCTCGTTGAAGACGCGCTGCTCACGCCTCACCTTTGGTCCGCTATAGGCGGACCACGCCACGTTCAATATTTGATTGTCGCGTGGTGCGAAGACTGAAAAAGAGACTTTAAGCGCAGAGCACATGAATACTGCAGACCGTATTTTCATTGGCACTTGATTATTTGCTTTGCTCCACTTTCCGTTGCTTCCGCCGGCCTTTTTGTTAGGCTCTTGCTTGTCAGTTGCACTTGCTGTTGTTTACTTTATTCATTCACGTCAAGACCTTTTTTCCCCCAAACAGTGTGGGCACACTGCGGGGTTTTTGGGGTAGTGGAAAAGCAGGTGTGCTTAGATCGCTGTGCGTCGCAGCCGTGTCCGGCTAATTCGTTGCTATTTACAGTACACTCATGCCTTGCGACATCGTCCATGTGCATTTCGACTGCGCAGGCTCGCAGAATCTGGGTGTCTGCGGCGGGTGCCTCTAACGACTGCGCTCCCGTTGTGGTGCCGTGTGCATTTTCGCACATGGTGATCACTTTTCGCCGCAGGCGCAAGGGAAACCTCGTGTTTTGGTGCTCCAAAGTCGACTTTTCGTGACAGGTGCAAGGGCTACTTCGAAATGCAGTTGTCGTGGCATGTGCAGCACTTTGGACATGGTGGTGATCGTTGAGGAGCTCAGATTTCGTGACAGGTGCAGTGAATGGTGACTTTTGGACATGTGGCTCGAAGTGCAGATTTCGTGGCAGGCACAGCATGGTGAACCTCGAAGTGCAGAGGCACAGCGCTTGGTGAACCTCGAAGTGCAGATTTTCTGGCAGGCGAAGTACTTTGTGCTCTCAGATTCTCACTCTCTCACTCTCCCACTCTCACTCTCCCACTTTCACTCACACTCACATCCCCTCACACTCCCACTCTCACTCTCGCACTCACACTCACTCTCCCACTCTCACTCGCACCCGCACTCGCACTCACACTCAGTCACTCTCACTCACACACTCACTCACACTCACTCACTCCCACTCCCTCACCCTCGCTCACTCACTCTCCCACTCCCGCTCACACTCACACTCCTCACACTCACACCCACTCACTCGCTCTCACTCACACTCGAACGCGCGCTCACTCACTCACACTCACTGTCACACTCACTCTCACTCTCACTCGCACTCACTCACCCTCACCCACACACTCACTCACACTCACCCTCACACTCACTCTCATTCACCTATACTCTCACTCTCACTCTCACACTCACTCTCACCCACACACACTCTCACTCTCACCCACCCACCCACCTTCAGTCTCACTCATACCCACACTCACTCTCCACTCGCACTCACACTCACTCTCCCCACACTCACTCTCACTCACACTCGCGCCCACTCACACTCACTCACACACATACTCTCACTCTCACCCACACTCACTAACACCCACCTTCACTCTCACTCACGCTCACTTACACTCACACCCACTCTCACTCTCACCCACACTCACTCTCACTCACGCTCGCACTCACACTCCCCCACTCTCACTCACACTCACACTCCCTTTCACCCACACTCACTCACACCCACCTTCACTTCATCACCACCATCACCTCTCTGGATCCCAATGTGTCTAGATCTCTAGACTTTCTGCTTACAGACCTCGCACACAGAGTTTGGGGGGTCTCTTGCCGGGATAATTTAGCTTATCTACAAAACTTTTTTTTCTTTGCTTTTTCTATATTTCCTTCTGATTTTGTGGTCCTTTTGCTTTCTTCTATGATGCTTTCTTGCTTCTTTCGTGTTTTTGCATGTTAGGAGATTGGTTCAAAACACAAGAGAAGAAAGCATGGACCAACGATGAAAGCCTAAAGAACGAAGCAGAACCTCGAAGAGGAATGGAAGCAGATGCAATTAATGGAAGGGAAGCAAAGTAAAAGACAGATTAAAGGACGAAAACAATCAAAAACAATTGGAAATGAACGGACGCGACGAAACAAAAGGGAAGCTGTACAAGTCAGAGCCTAAAAAACAATGACAAGGAAAGCTTACAAGTAACCGCCTCAAAGCAAGACGTGCTATGTTGGTTTCCCTGTTTACCTTGGATTGAACTCCACCGCAAGCATTGTCTGGCACTGCTTTTTCTTCCGGGCGCTCGCCGCGCCGAGTCAAGCTCGTGGGTCGTGGGCTATATCACAGTTCATGAGCGCACTCCAAAAGGTCGTGTCGTTGCAATCCGCTATTCTTCTAAATCAGCTTCCACCAAGCGAGCGGCAAAACTTAACGGCTCAGTACCCAGCACATCCTCCTGTCGGAGATGATTGCAAAGCGCCTTGCCACCTCCCCACAGAGCTCCTGAGTTCGTGGGGGCGTCATGGTGAAGGCACGCAATGTAACTAGCGCTTTCCTCGTGTACCCGTCCCGAGACCAAGAACGATGTACAAAGGCCGCGGCTCTGCTTCTGGCTCCCAGCGGTCATCGAGATCTTCGAGGTTGTCTTCGTCTACCTGGCTCGCGCGGCGACAGTGAGGTCGAGATTCCTTACAACGGATTTCTGGATGCGGCCTCTGCCTCCTCTGCAGCGGGGCCGTGGTTGGTTTCTTCGTCCTCAAAGAATTCCACATGTTCTAGACTCTGCCCTACAAGTCGCTTTTGGTTTCCGTAGCGTCTCCTCGCTCTCGTTAGGCTCCGTTGCACCCTCCGAACCATCTTCCGCGAGGACCTGCCAAGCGTGACGAGACGTGCTGAAGCTGCTGAACTTCTTTCATCGGTTGAACTTCTTTCAGCGAGATTGAGATATACGTATATGTTATGTATCTATACCTATGCGAAGATCGCGCCTCATAGCCGCGAGCCACGAGGCAGTCCAGCTTCACAGTATACGGGTACTGCAGGCCTAGAAAAATGACCCCAAACGGCGTGCCACCCGCGCCTCAATGCACGCTTTGACTTGGCGCGTGCTGGCGACGCACAAAAGATTACAAACATGCAAAAGAAGACCTGTCAGCACCACAAACGAACAACGCAAGCAAAACGAGAAAGACAAGACAACCAACAAAAATACACATGTAAGGATAAACAAAAAACCACCAGCGAACGGTCGCAAGCAGAAACCCTTGCATGCCCACATGTTCTAGAAAAGAAAGTTGAAAGTAATCACTGCAAGCAGGAGAAACACACAAGGAGAGCGAAGCAAAAGGAATGAGCAAGGAAAGAGGAACATATTACAAAGATAAGAGCAAGAAACAAAGCTCATACATGAAACGCACCAGAAGGATATATATATATATATATCAGGAACAAAAGTAAGTAATGTCTCTGTCCACACACGTCAAGCGTTGCCTGTCCACGTGCCCTGCCATCCTGATGAGCCACCTTTGGGTCAAAAGGCGAGTGCTTGAAGACCACAGCCGTGCCTGCGTGCCCCTGCTGGCTCAATACACACGCATCCTGTGGTAGGGTGGCTCCCTCTTGTGCCCAACAGAATCCGCTATAGTCTAGCTGGTTAGGATACTCGGCTCTCACCCTGGCGAACAAAAGTTTCACATGAAACGGACCATTTTGCGGCAAATCAAGGGGAGCCCTTTTTGCGCCTTAGTAAAGGTTTGAGGGTTTAGTGTGAATTTTCAACAATACGCTCCTTAGTAAAGGGTTTTTGGTGCAATAGCTTCAAACCATGGTTTTGAAGCCGGTCACGGATTTAGCCCTGGCTAAGCAAAGTTTGAGAAAACCCAGCATCCGTCTCAGCAACTGTAGACTAGTCGTCAATCCAGGAGAAAAAGACTGCCCAAGACAAGCATATTCTTGTTTTGGGAGGGATGGAAAGTCTTCCCTTTTCAGTTCGCTGTATAGTTCCATTGTCCAATCCAGAGAATCGAACGGTTGAGCAGACGTGCACAGGACACAAGAAGTGTTCTCACAGTATGTCACAGTTCCGTTTCTACGAGCTGTCAGAAGGTAATTGCTAGGATCCTGTGAGGAGACCCGCCTCATGCTCTTACCGGGTTGAGCACACGGAATTAGAGGTTGCTTTAATACAAGCTGTGGATGTTTGTGAATGTTGCGAAGGCATCTTAATTCGTAGGAAGTTTGCGGCTACAAAACTGTCTGCGTTGAAGATCAAGCTGACGGGGCTCACAGAACCCAACTCGAACGCGACCAGAATGGTGCTTCAGTTCAAGCCATGCCGGCCAGGAAGAAAGAACAGAAAGAAGAAACTGAGAAGACGTCAACCAGCTAAGTATAGCTAACAGATAAGGATAACGACTTGACCTTTAAAGCGGACACGGCGAATTACCAAAGCAATGCAAGCAACACCGATGAACTAGTCTGATGGTAAAGAAGACGCTTCAACGTCCAATTTTGGGAATCGATTCAATAACACAATTGGCAGTCGAAGCTTCCATTTTCGATCCACCCCCCACGACGCCATGGCTATACGCTGGGCGAACTTCGAATACGGCGTGGTGGATACTACTTGGCCGACACACGTGGAAGAACAAGAACGATTGCTCAACTGCACTCATTGGTACAGGCTGCAGGCTCACACCAATATACCGAATTATTGGCCGTATCTGGGTGCATTCCGTCTTCGCGGTCGCTTGGAGGACTGTGAGCTGCACGTCTTCCGACGGGGTCAAGATCGCATTTTTGTTGCGCGCGCTGTGTCTGACAACGTGCTGTGGCTGAACGTGACACTGTCCAGCCACAAAGAAGCGTTGAAAGCGACCCGCACCTTCGCAATGTCAGTGGAAGTGATCGGCTCCATATACATACCTGCGCGGGCGGGCGTGGTGCAAGTGCAATACCTTTTCCGAGTGGGTGGTAGACTTGTGATGCGAAAAAACTTGCTGCCATCACACAACCAAAGAATGATCTTACTAGTGGGGAACGCCGTGCTATGGAATGACATGCCGTGAGACGTCCAGAAAGTTGGACACCTCTGTCTATTAAGTGGAAGCTTTTAGGATCCTCAGGCATCCAGTCACCGCTGATGAGTCACTTTCGGCAGGTTTGCTTTCAACTCCCATCATTTCAAGTGGAGTTGGCACATTTTTGTGTATAGGAGGTGGCGCTCATTGTGGAGCACGCTGCGCACGCACGCTGCGCCGTAGACGCATGCCTTGCTGTTATTTTTCATGAAGCATCGCTGCTCTCAACTGTATATAGATTGTCCTAAGGCATCCTAACTAAGGCTATCAAGTTTTACAACTTTCTTTCACTGATGGCCTTGGGCCTTCATTACCTACAGCGGTTTCCGCGTAGATTTTTCCACAAACCCAAGGCTGTCTTTGACACGGGGGTCCATGGAAACCACCATATATTGATATTATTTTGGGGGGCCCGGCCCAGACGTACCATTAATAAACTCATGAAACCACTGCCCTGTCGCGCCACGTGAATGCACGGCGGCGTATATGGCTAGTGCGGCAGCCGGCGCTCGAGCCAAAGGAGACCGCTAGCCTGGTACTGGACTTTTTCAGCCCACAACAGGCGGTGCGGGGCTTGGCCCTGTCGGACAGGTCGGTCGACTGGACGGAGATTGGAGTCGATCGGGCCGAGAAGATGGATGGAACTGGACTGAGGAGTCAGGTGGTATCTCTGGATACTCACACTCTGTCCAGGTATGTTGGATAGTTTTGCGTCCCTGTAGCTCAAAAGGAGACACTCCAACCTGAGCATTGGGGGCCATTGAGTAGGAAGTCTTCCTCTCTCCCTCTATAGGGTGGTGATCCAGTCCCCCGCAAACACCTCCGCACGCCCGCCAAGGCGAAGGAAGCCATCAAAGTGATGCAGAAATACCTGGAGCGACATGAGCAGTTCCAGCGCTTTGATCAGAATTCCGGCCCCCCCCAGAAGCTCCCCTGAAGGCCGAAGAGCTGCAGCCCAAACGCGGGAGGGTAGGTACACGGGGTGTGCGATGTGGGACGAGGGACATCAAAGATCACTAAGGCAAAAGGAGGTTGAGCGGGCCTTGGACATCTACGGGTTTTCCTACAAGAAAGGCCTTTGAACTCCCGCACGGTCATGGTAGGGGTAGTTGATTTGACGAGCCCATACACTCCATGTATGGAAATATGCCTACCGTGATCCTCGAAAAAAAACATGGCGTTGCTGGGAAGTTAGGACTCCGGACGTCATGTCGCAGCTACGGGTGGCCCGTCGGACTCCTTGGCGACCCCCGAGGCCCGCTGGTCCCGCCGAAGTAGCTACTGGGCGCCATTGGGGGGGGGGTCGGGTCATGGGGCGGGCCGTTTGGGGGGTCAAAGCATTGGACCTTGAATGGAGAAGGCCATCGTAACATCCCTACCCCTTTAACCATCAAGAATGGAGGGGGACCTCCAGAAATGTAACTTACATTTGTTTGAGGGGAGGGTGGATTAATGTTAAGATTGAGGCCTGTAGGTACAGAAGGTAGTCTATGGATGTAGACACATGTAGCCCCCCCATGAATTGAATGAGGCATTCTTCGGTTAATTGCATATTGATCCGTTTCCGATTTTGTGTGGGGTGGGCAGAAAAATGTAACTTACATTTTCCTCCCCTGTCTGTTAGGTTGTTCGGTAACGCATGGATATGTGTGAATTGTGGCAGGCAACCTTCAGGGCCCAAGGAAAGGATAGAATAGGATAGGGCAGCTTTGGAGAATGCAGACGTTGTTTTTTTGGGTGCTGCTGGTGTTGTGGTTTTGATTTCAGTCGACTTCATATATGGTAATTCTATGAAGCGCATAAGCTAAATGTAACTTACAGTTTTTCAATAATGTAACTTACATTTAGGAACCCCCCAAGAACTTTTGGGGGAGTATGTAAGTTTACAGTTTTGAATAATGTAAGGGGGGTCAGGAAAATGTAATATTACATTTCCAAGGTGGGATGCTCAGAAAATGTAACTTACATTTTCCAGAGGTCTTCCCTGAATATGGTAGGGTAATCGTAACTCATAACATCTCGTAACTATACGGTTGACCTAGTAGTGACCTGGCCCAGGGAGAGCTTTTGACCGTGCCAATGTTTTTGGCTGACTTCAAGTTTTTAGACTAGACGCCTTGGGTTGAGGCAAGGAGACAAAGCACCGGTTTTATTTTATTCCCCTGAAGGCGGTCGCGGGTCAAGAAATCGCACGATGAAGGCTTTTGCCGTGAACGTCTGGTGATGATGCTTTTGTTCCGGGATAGTACGACATGTACGACTTACGACCTCACCACTCACCAAGGTCCCTCCCATCGATCTCTCACCAGGTCGGAGGTTCTCGAACTCACTCCCATCGACTCCGCCGGCTCCTCAGGTGGTCAACGACCGCCTGGGCGCTCGCTTCGAGCGCAAGCTGGCGCAGCTCCGCACGCACGTCACGCCGTCGCTGGTGACGCCGTCGCTGGTCTTCCACGGTGCACCCTCGCAGGAGCCGCAAGCCGCCGACACACCGTGGCCAAGACCCCCAGCACTCTTGGGTCCCCATACACTGCCTGTTCACGAAAAAAACACGACGATCAACCCACCAATCACCAGGACCATGGGTATGTCAGTGAGATGACTTCAATCAATCCATGAATGCAGTGGATCTCAGGCAGCCACCCAGTGGATCTCAGGCAGCGAACCAGGCTTCCTCACATCTAGGGGACTGAAGTTTTTGGAACCACTGGTTGCGTACGAGTTTCGGGGGGTAACTGGACACACGGCCCTTGAGTTGCGCCAGCACATGCCAGCACCACCCAAAGGATGGTTATTGGATAGTGCTTAAGCACATAGTCAGGGGGTCAATATTACCCCAAACTTGAGGCGTTGGGCTCTGTGGCACGGTCTGCATGGAGGCTGCCTACGACAGTTGCTTGAGTTGGTGTGGAGGCCCGCCCGGCAGACATCATCACCAGGCTCAAACATTGTGAAAAATGGATCTCGACAGGGAAACGAGAAGAAACATAGCAAGACCTTCCAACAAAGTCCCTACAAACCATTCACTCTGCCTAATCCCCGCTTCATACGTACACATATCCATATCATATGGACTATACAATACCTGCTCATCATTTATCAACTCCATCGGAATCGCCGCTTCAGCCGCAACGAAGCACCTCGACGTGAACCTGGTTTTTTGCCCCCCCGAATGCCCAAGGCGGTGGTCATGACAGGGCGCAACGAAGCACCTGCCTAAGGACTTACATTCCAACGCCAGGCCACATCGGTCCGAGCATGCCCGAGCCCAAAACCCCCATACCAAACTGGTCGACCCGGTTCACCTGGCACACGGCCGGCGTGGCCGCCTTTCGCACATGTGGGGCTCGTGAGTTCTGAGCTGATGGCCCGCACCGTGCGGCGCGCGGACCGCGCCTGGGTGGCGCTGGCCGCCGTGACGGCGGCGCGCGAGAGCTGCGAGGTGTCGCAGTGGCTGCAAGAGGAGGCCGTGGATCAAGGCAACATGGTTTGTGTTTCGGTCGCGGACGGAATCATGGTACGTGGTTCCGTTGCTCGTTTTGGCGCTTTCGGCGAGCTGCTGAGCCAGGATGGTCTTGACGGAAATCTAGGACTAGACTGGGGTTGATATAATACGTCGTTTTAGGGAGTGCGCCATCCACTCCCAATCCACATGTCAGAGTATAACCTTTTTCGTTTGAGGGGTCTCTGACTGACTACTTGGCTTTCCTCCCACGAAGAATCAGGCTACCACGTGCTTTGCATCTCGGAGCAGGACGAATTCTTGGGGAAGGCGCTTGGAAGGTAGGACTCTCACAGGTGCGGGCCTGCAACGAACGTGGATCGTTTTGGGGGTCCTGCACGCTTACACGATCGGTGTGCTTTTTGACACTGGAGAATGACCCTTTTTCCCTCCTGAGAGGTCCATATGAGAGTAATGTGAGCGCACGTGAGTGCCAGGGATTCCAAGAGAAGTTCGGTTTCAGACTCAGAGCAACTGGCACAGACCCCATGATGTCCTAGACAGATGGGGGTCCATATAAACCACCATATACTTGGGGGGCCAGACGTGCCATCTACATATGTGAGACTCTTTGAGATTCTTTGAGCACTCTGGTGAGTCCAATTGTCAAGTACATTATACAAACTATATTATATATATACAATAGATTTTTGATTATTATAGAACTTCATAGAACTTCCACTTCAGGGGCGTCACTACACCATCTACACCCTCCCAACACACTCTTTGAAGTGGGGTTGACCGTTTCATCCTCATTGTCATAGAGAAAAGATGAGGGAAAGGCGCTCTTCTCCAAGCCGGCCGTGCCGGCCGGACTCGACCCGCCGAGAGGAACCGATTCAGCTCTACGTGGAGGGCCTCCAATCTCAGATGCTTCAGCTGCAGGGTGGCAAGCTGGTCGAGCGACTGGAAGAGAAACTGCACATCCGAAGGCACCTGGAGTTCTTGGAGGAAGGCTGGGCATGACGTCGCGCGTCGCGGTGGGCCTTTCGTGGAAGGGGAGCGGAAGCAGCATCCCCATGCTGCACCAGATCGCCCGTTTGGGCTTTCCACAAGGTGGCAGATCCCTTGGATCCAGTGAATCCAGATCAGCCGTTGGGAGTTTGCTCTGGAATTAAAGGGGAGCAATTCTTTGTTGCCAACCCAAGCTCTTGAGTGGTCTTTCTTTCTTCCCGGCGTCGCCTTACAGGTCAGTCAACTGTGACGCAGTGGCCGAAGCAATCCTGGGCGGTCTTTACCAGTGAAGGGGAGCGCTGGCGGCCAGAGGAGCTCGACGAGCTGGTGGAAGGAGCCTTGGACCGCAAAACATTTGGAGAGGGGGTGCTGACTTTCATAGACTTGACCCTCCTCGAAACATGGACATGGACATGGCAAATGGAGCGACTATGTGGACTTGAAGGGTAGTTGCTTTCCTGTACCGGTACCGCACTGGTGTTCTTGGGCAGAAATTTCTGCCTATTGTGGGTAAAGGCGACTTTGCCCGTGCTTAGGCGTTCTTGTCCCCTGTAGGCGTTCTTGCCCCCTTCTGGGCGTTCTTGTCCTTTTGGTGGCATTGCTCAGATACATGAGGATCCACCCTCCACTGATTCCAGGAACTTTCATAGCGAGTACACTTGTTTGTCAGGAATTCAGGAATTAACTTAATGATACTTAATGTTTCTCTTGTGATCTCTTTTGTATGTTTTTAGTTTTTCAATGCTTTGATTCATTGCTTTAATATCTTTTTGCGTAGGTGTTCTTCCCGTCACTTAGGCGTTCTTACCCGTTACTTGGGCGTTCTTGCCCGTTACTTAGGCGTTCTTGCCCGTTCCCCCCTCACTACAATCAGTAGTTGGGTGGACAACGGAATGGTAACCTTTTGGGGGGAGTGAGCGAAATGAGTTTCAACAACTTTAGACTGGGGATTAGCGTCAAGTGGCAGGCGTTTGTTTTCTCAATTTTTGTCATTCAAATTCTGGCTCTGCCTCCTGCGTGTAAGAATGCATGTGATTGTGCCTCGGCGTTTTTGACCCTCAAGGCTGCAGCTTAGGCGTTCTTTGCAAAAACAGGCTGAATTTTCTGCCTAAATGGCGTTGGGCGGAAATTATTGCCTAATGAGGTTCTAGGTATGTATTATTCTTAGGGCTAGTTTGTGGATACTCAACTGTTAACGTTCGGAAGGACAGCCAGCCCCCTTGACAAGTGTGATGACGGAGAGGGAACTCTGTCCCAGGGCCTTTACAATAGTCCCTAGCTAAAGATGATTGGGTGTTACTTTTTCATTTATTATGAATTAAGGGCCAGTGCAGAAGTCCTATCTAATGTAGAAATTTGTAGAACTGTGTGACACTACAGTCAGCTATCCATTACATACTAGTTACTAGTATACCTCACATAGTCCCATGAGTCCTGTAGGCCCTTGCTCTCCGGGTTAATCCATGGCTAGCCGGGTCTTTCACTCCCAGGCTATCGCGGCGTGGCCTTGCTTTTCGAGGGCGGTGTGTGGCGCTGGCCGCCCGTGCGCCCCGGCTTCCGCCGCAGCGTGCTGCCCGGCGTGGTGCTGGAGACGGTGGCCACCAGGCACCGACGGGGGCGGGGCTTCTGAGAGGTGAAGGAACCTCAGAGGTGCCGGAAAAGCTTCCAGACAGGGCACCCCGACAGGAGGGTCCTGGTAGGTTGGGTTCTTCAACCTTTGGTGGCACAAGGTGAAATCCACCCAAATCCTCCCCCAAGTCCGCTGCACGAAGGATCCAGCTGGGACGAGATGCGGCCAGATGCGGCGTTTAAACCGGTTACAGCGCCGCTCGTGTTTTTTTTGGGGGGGTGGGTGCGTGATGGTGGGTGGAGCATCCAATCTGTTTGCTAAAATCACTCCAAATCCAGCTCCCTCAGCTCCCGGCTGCAGTTCCATCCCCCGTAAGGCCACCGCGGTTCTTTACATACTGAAGTAGATATGTTATACACTGTCATACATTTTCAATGATTCCCTACATTCCCGTGTGGGGCTTTTGCTTTTAGTGTGGTATCCGCTCCTCCTTCCTTCCTTCCTTCCTTCCTTCCTTCCTTCCTTCCTTCCTTCCTCCTCGCTCCCCACCTAATTGCCACCAACAAACTGTCACCAACCAATTGTCACCAACTAATTGTCACCAACCAATCGTCACCAACCAAATGTCACCACGGGGTCGGATGTACGCCCTGGGACCGCTTGGTAGCCGCAGCTTTGCGGCTGTGATTTGCGTGGCATGCGCGGTACTTGGTGCTCTCCAAGGGGTCGGATGTACGCCCTGGGATCGCTTGGTAGTCGCAGCTTTGCCGGTGTGATTTGCGTGGCAGGCGCGGTCCTTGGCGC